TACAACGCTTCTAAGATCGAAAGTGTATGTTGTTGGGATTATTCTTAAATTTTAATCCATGTTTTATATATTTTCAAACTTATTCACCTACAATCTCATATTAATACAACAGGATCATCATCTTAACTTCATTATATTTAACCAAGAAACCTCGTCTTCAGCAAAACAAGATTCTTTGTCCTTGTCTAACTAAGGGACCTCGTCTATAACAATACAAATAGAGTCTGAGTCTTCATCCTCACTAACTAAGGAATCTCGTCTCCGGCATTAAATAGTCTTTATCCTAGTCAAGCTAAGTGACCTCAATCACCTTTGATATATCTCAAATACTCAGGCCCGGAAAGCTAGCTTTCAGAGCTGGACACGACAACATAACATTCTTCACAAAAGAATGGATACAATCATACAATAATCAATATCATTGCTTATACGAGACCCAAAAAAAAAAAAAAAAACTGAGGTGGGCCCATGGAAATTCCTTATTAAAATTTTCTACATTTTGGTTGAGCTACTATACGCATCTGTCATTCACATTTTACTTGTCGGAAGTGTAAGTTGGGGCTAAGGATAAGAAAAGCCATGAAATAAAGTTTGAAAATGCAAATAGGATGGGCATGGCAGTTGGCAGGGCATGGAAGGCGAGAAACGTCTAGAAACGGGAGTGGTTTCGTTAGTTATCCAAACGCAAAAAATGCTGACTCATCCTTGGATTGATCCGAATGCCACCTCAAATCTCAATCAAACTCACATGTTATTATGTTATATGTTATCCACAAAACATGGAACCTTAGCTTTCCAAATTATTTTGCGACTAATTAACCTTCCTTCCGCCTATATATACATGTCGGATAGATGTTACACGTACCGCCACTCAAATAACATTACATTAATTTCACTTCTGTCTTCGAAGCTGCTGCCGTGCTGTGTAACATTACTTTGCGCTGCAGGTTCGCTACCTCCTACCTTCCATACATTAATTTTTATTACTATAATGGTGTATGTCTAATTTATGTATTCTGTGTTCCAATCTTAATTGGCTATTTATTGAAGTAGTTCAGAGTGCATGATGATAAATATAAGAACACTAAACATTTTTGTCAAGAAAATATAGTGAAAAGTGGAGTGATGTCTAGCATTACTCTATCAGGAAAGAGGCAATTTATATCGTGGATCAAGGTCCACATAGCATTGTTGACCTTGTATCAAAACGACGTAACAGACTCCGTAACTTCTCGTTTATCATGTTTCAACACAAATTTTAATTTACTTTAGGTATAGAATTCTTACATGATGTACAGAAATGCATAACACGAGATACATACACATGTTTTCTATTTTACTTATTCTCAAATCTGATTTATGTAAATAATTTATGTCCTATACGCACATAATTTCATAATACAAGACATAAATTCGTAAAATAAGACACAATATGTTTTATGTTATACAACTACTAATCAATTTCAAGTACAGAATTCTTACACTTAATATACAAAATTGCATATAACATGATGTACAGAAATACATACATACACATGTTTTTTTATTTTACAACGAGATACATACACATGTTTTCTATTTTACTTATTATCATATCTGATTTATGTAAATAATTTATGTCATATAGACTATAGTCACATAATTTCATAAGACACGTAATATATTTTGTGTTATATAACTACTAATCAATTTTATGTACAGAATCATTACGCTTAATGTACAGAATTGCATAACATGATGTACAGAAACACATAACACGAATACACAATATTAGTATACATAATATGATATACTGAACAACAAATGATCACCATTAAAATTAAAGTCCAAATAGGACCAGGGTCCAAGGTATAACGATTGCAAAAAAGATACCGGGCCTACAGCTTGGGCATTGTTTCAATCGTATTCTGGCCCAAAATTGACACAGACAACATAATTAGTGTTTAACTATTACGGAGTATTAGTTATTACGTGCAATAAACATGTAAAATGATTATATTTTATTTCACTTTCATTCACTTAATCATAATACTTTTTTATTTTTTATTTTTAAAATTGTTAGTTCTCAATTTTATAAATATTTCATTTTTTTACTTCAAAATACAATTTGTATTTATATATTCAATAAGATGGAATTTTGTGAAATTTTCACAAAAGTGAGGATATTTCAAATATTTTGACTAAAAACAGTTGTTTCAAAATGAAAAAAAAAATCAAAAATTGATAATAAAAAGTGAAGATGTTACTATAATTAAATTATTGAAACTTGAATAAACTTTGAGAGAGCTTTTGATTCAAGTTATATGATATAAAGTCGTATAATTTTTTTTTTTTTTAAATTATACTGTTTTTTTTTTTTTTTTTTTTAATGTCTATGTCTATTTCTCCTGTAATGAGATTGATGTATGTCTGTTTGGGAAGTTAAATAAATTAGCTTTGAAAAAAAAAATTAATTATCAACAATGGTGTTGGATTCATGGGTGATGGGTGAACCATTTCTATAATCTTTGAAGAAGTCGACGATTCGGCCATGAGAATTAAGAAAACATAATTTTATGTGGAATTTTTGGGGGTTAAACAAGCTTTTGTTGCGATTGGCAACTTCCTTCTCAAGTTTACAAGTTTTATTACTTTGCTTGTTAGCTTTAATTTGAAGTTGATGTTATTATTTCTCTATTCTAAAACTCATCTTTCATCCATAATTTCGACGACTTGACTAGTAAAATAAATTTTAAAATTCAAACTCTTTATTTTGTATAATAATAAAATTAATTGCTATCGTGTAGATAGTGTGTATGTAAAAATGTACAATAAGAGAAAAAATTGACTTTGTTCGCCATTCAGTTCATTATTCAAAGAGCAAAGAAACTTCTATTGTAGAGAGAGGGAGCAGAGGAGAAGAGGCACTAGGCCCTAGTGTTGTAGAGTGTGTGGAGTAGTAGAATGGCCTCCCCTTACCAAAGGGTTAGGTGCCCTTATATAGGTGCAAACTTTGACTATTTAACTCTAACTCGAACATTTGACCCCGACTTGATTACTAAACAGGAGCCTGGAATGTATAGGAAGGTTAAATCCGAAGAATATTCTCTATCATATAATGTACATTCAGTATACAAATAATGTATTTTTAGTATATAAAAAAAATATATTTTGTATTATGATTAACACAATAATTCACCGTTTAGTTAAAATATGGGCCTGGTGGATTGAGCCAAACAATAAAAATTTTGATTTGCCTTGACCCATTGTCTAAAAGATTAAAAAACACTTAAATTTTTTCTTTATGACAGAAATAGTCATTAATTAAGTTTATAACACGGATTTCACTTATAACATATTTTTTATGTAATGACTGCAGATTTTTTTAAGTGTAGATTTGGTAAAGTATAAATATATAATCATGGGCGGGAGCCCGAATTTACACGTCCACTATAATTTTTCTGGCCTTAAAGTTTGACGCCTGGTCCTGGTGGAAGATCCTCTGCCACACACACATACACCGAGAAGTACACCAATTTAACACTCATCAATGTATTATGTATACATGGTCCAACCCTCAACGTTACGTTCCTAGTTTGAAAATAGACTGTGTTTGTACTTTTTTTTGGTCATGTCCAATTGTCCATGTGGACCATATCTAAAGCTTCACCTCTCCATTCTCATTACATCGATGGATGACCAATAATAATAATGAAAAAAATTATTTTCTTTTTATTTTTGTGATATGAACAAATTATGATAATTATTTAAAGGTGTGTATTAAGTAAATTATACTTATATATAATAGTACGCAAATGAGGAAAATTCGCAGCTATTACTCAACGGCGTGTACAAAATTAACTTTATTCATGTGTAATAGTTAACATACCACGTTGAAAATGTAAACCATACTAATTGTTTAATTGGTCTTAAGTTAGATAATAATTGACTCAATTGTTATGTTATAGATGTAGCAACTTTTAATTCCTAATTGTCCGTTTGAAGTATTATTTTCAGTTTTTTATATAATGGTGTGCATTAAGGAGACAAGGGATATAAATTGTATTAGAAAGACCTTATGTGATGGACACGATTAAGAACATATTGAAAAAATTATACATTTTTTATTATATTTTTTTTGAGTGATGAAGGAAACTCGTATCTACTACTCAATGATGTGTACAGAGTTAACTTCACTCCCGTGTAATAGCTAATAAATTACATTAAAAATGTAAATTATACTAATTGCTCAGTTGTACTTTAAGTTAGGTAATAGCTAACAAATTACAATTGAGTCAATTATTGGCCCTGTTTGGTAAAAAAATTGGCCTATAGGCCAATTTTGGCTTATTTGACCACTATTAATTGTTTGATTTAGTTAAAATATCAATATAAATGTTTGATTGATTAGCTTTTTGCAACTCCAAAAGGCTAAAATTAAAAAAGCTACTCCTAGCAACTTTTTCAATTAATTTTTTGATAAAAGAAATTATACCAAACAGCTATCAGCTAACAGCTAATTTACCAAACACTTTTCTACAATCAGCTAATGTTATGAACTATTTATACTATCTAATTAACACAATCAGCTAACAGCAAACAGCTATCAGCTAACAGCCATTTTACCAAACAAGGCCAATATAATTGACTCAATTGTAATGGTATATATGTCGCTACTTTTAATTTCTAACTGTCCGTAGAAGTAGTATTTTCAATTTTTTTTTTTTTTATTAATAACTTTCTCAAAATTTACTGTTATTTTTTAAAAACTCTAAATTTTTTTTCTTCTTTTGAGTGGAACAACTGATTGGTTGTTCCATACCCAAAACTCTAGTTGAATACGGTTAATAATGAATTTCATTTCTTCTTATTTTCTTCTCAAATCACATTCTAACTGGGTAACTTAGTAGTTAGAAACAGCAATGGCTATATGATTTGATACCTTTGTATTTTGAATTGAAGGTTTTCGCTAACACAAACACAGGAGCCTTAAAAAAGTTTTGTCGTTGTCTGGCATGCAGGGCAGGGCAATCAGACAAAATTCTGCTCCTGCTAACAAATGTAGTATATATTGTTGAAGTGGAGGTGGAGGAAGTCTCAACGTGTGGCCATCAAAGCAACGCCTTTCTCTTCCACGCCTGCACAGCCCTTCTTAATCTCGACTCCCTAAATCTCTCTCATTTTCTGCAAAAGATAGTAATGGAGACTGAAAAGAAGCAAACCCGGGGGGAGATTGAAACGCCAACCAATATTACAATCAAAGGCATTCTTGGATTGTTAATGGCGAATATTGAAGGCAGTGAGGGTGATGACAGTAAAAAGGTGATATCTTTGGGGATGGGTGACCCCACTGCTTATTCTTGCTTTCACTCTCCTGCTCTAGCTCAACAGGCTGTTTCTGACACTCTCTCTTCTTACAAGTTCAATGGCTATTCTCCCACTGTTGGTCTCCCTCAAACCCGAAAGTAAGTAATTTTGGATTGAAAAGAATGAATTGAAAGAAAGAAGATTAAATTGCTTTCTTGAATCATATGTTGTTCTTGTGTTTATTTAGTCCCTTTAAACTGTTTCCCCTTTGTCTGTTACTTTCTTGGTTTGCAATTTAATTTCCTTGATATGTACTTGTGAAGCAGGGCAATTGCAGACTATTTGTCTCGTGACCTTCCAGAAAAGGTATCAGCAGATGATGTTTATGTAACAGCTGGCTGCACTCAAGCCATTGAAACAGCACTGTCAATTCTGGCTTACCCTGGAGCTAATATCTTGCTGCCAAGACCAGGGTTTCCAATTTATGCACTCTGTGCTGCTTTTAGACACCTTGAAGTTAGATATTATGATCTTCTCCCTGAGAAAGCCTGGGAGGTTGATCTCAATGCTGTTGAGTCTCTTGCAGATCAGAATACTATTGCAGTGGTGATTATAAATCCTGGGAATCCCTGTGGGAATGTGTATACTTATCAGCATCTCAAAGAGGTTCCTTTTGGCCTTCTTGCACGCTATTATTTACTCGTCTTGGATGCTTATGTTTAATTTGCAAGTTCTGATAATTTTTTTTTTGGGTGTAAATTAATAGATTGCAGAAACTGCAAACAAGCTCAAACTCATTGTAATTGCAGATGAAGTATATGGGCACTTAGCTTTTGGAACTAACCCTTTTGTTCCAATGGGAGTTTTTGGATCTATTGCCCCTGTGCTTACTCTAGGATCCTTGTCAAAGAGATGGTTAGTTCCCGGATGGCGCCTTGGTTGGCTAGTCATAAACGATCCTAACGGCACCATAAAAACCCCCAAGGTTTGTTCACCTAATGGATAATGCTAGTTATGATCTTATTGTGTTCCTTAATCCTTACAAACATAATTGGTATTCCTGCCTTGTTTGTTCTATCAGTTTGTTGAGCGCATTAAAAAGTACTGCGATATCTGTGGAGGTCCTGCCACCTTTATCCAGGTTTGCAAACTCACTCTTGTGTGATTCTTAATAGAAAACAGCAAGATTTTCCTGCCTGCCTCATGGCGAGATTTTTGGTTGTTTAGGCAGCAGTCCCTCGTATTATTCAGCAAACCGAAGAGGTTTTCTTTAGGAAGACCATTAACATGTTGAAGGGGACTTCAGATATCTGTTGTGAAAAGATTAAGGAGATTCCATGTCTCACTTGCACACATAAACCACAAGGATCAATGGCTGTTATGGTGAGCAAACAATCTGAATGTGGAATTACTCCCTAATAATTAAAAAGGGATATTAGTTTTAAGTCTTTTCTGAATTTAGGTAAAGCTGAATCTGTCCTTGCTAAGAGACATCAGTGATGATATTGACTTCTGCTTCAAGCTGGCCAAGGAGGAGTCTGTCATAATTCTTCCAGGTAATAATATAAATTAGACAACTTTTCCCTTTAGTTAAATTGTCTGGGTAGAATTCAGGTTAAAAACATCATGTTTGAGATGCCAACAAAGTTGATGTTTTGCAGGATTGGCTGTGGGTCTCAAGAATTGGCTGCGAATTACTTTTGCTGCAGAACCATCTTCCCTTGAAGAAGCACTGGGAAGGGTTAAGTCTTTCTGTCAGAGGCATTCATATCAAGAAAATGGGCACTGCTAGTTGAAGCTAGAGTTGCGTAGAGTTAGCTTTTTACAGAATATAGAAAATGGAGTTTGATACAAATATGCAAGTAGTAGTGTCAATGTGTCAGTTCTCAAGAACTGATATTGTGCAATTACACCCACCTAATGGCCTTATACTCTTACTTTGAAGCATGAAGTAGTCAAACCATATGTTCTGCATTACCATAATATATGTACTGATTATACTTGGAAGTTGTGGTTGTAAAAGTTGAAATACATTCTTGCTTATAAATGAAAGTTACTTGTATGTCTAGCTCAGCTTTTGCCCTTAATTGAAGCACGTGTTCTATCTCAACTGAAAGTCTAAGCTGAATAGCTGATAGATGACCATTGGCATGAGGTTGGCTCTGATACCAAACTGAAGCATGTGCTCCATCTCAACTAAAATCCTAAGCTGATAGTCGGATTACACATTTATGTTTATACATTATATACTCAACAGCTGTCAGGCGGACTATAAATCATGACGATGCCTAAGCTTAGATGATCTGCGACAAGTGACTCCACTGTTTGATTCATTATCATATGTGATCACCATAGCTTCATGTGAAAGAGTTTTAAGCTTTTCCACAGCCTCCAGTAGCTCAAAAAGAATTTAGACTGGATTTGTTCATGTCTAAATGGCAATCAGTTGCCAACTCCACACTCTCCTCAAAATCTCCACATGCAGTGAGTACTGTTAAAAGGATGTAATCATCCACTTCAATATCTTCAGCTTGCATCCTATATAAGAGCTTCAAAGCCTCTCCACAGAACCCGTGTTTTGCATAGGCAACTACCATTGCTTTCCAAGAAACCAAGTTCCTCTCTGGCATGCTATCAAACACTTGAATAGCTTCGGGAAGATGGCCACATTTTGCATACATATTGATCAGTGCACTTCCCACAAACACATTTGAAATTGCAGGTGTCTTGTTTATGGAGGAGTGTATCGATTTCCCTCTATCAATGTCTTCTAGTTTCGTGCAAGCTTTCAGGGCTGATGAATAGGTAAAAGAGTTCGGTACTACACCTTCACCCACCATCTTCTTCAAGTATTCAAGTGCCTCGTGCTCGTGTCCTAGACGTGCACATCCAGAAATCATCGCTGTCCATGAAACTACGTCTCTGAAAGGCATGCCTTGGAGGACCTTATGTGCCATGGAGTTTTCACCGCATTTACAGTAAAGCCAAACCAGGGAACTCCCGATATAAATGTTGCCCTGGAGAAAATTCTTGATAATTCGTGCATGCACTTCCTTTCCAGTTTGTAGAGCCCTAAGTATTCCACATGCCCAAAGAACACTAACCATGGTCAAATTATTAGCAAATATCTTTCTCCTTGTCATTATCCGAAATAGATTTATGGCCTCTTCAGCAAGCCCATTACGAGCATATCCTGCAATAATAGATGTCCACGTTACAATGTTCCTCTTCCTCGTCCCATCGAATATCTTCCTGGCATTTGCAATTTGTCCACACTTCGCAAACATGTCTACAATTGATGTCCTGACAAAGACATCCATCTTATATATCCTTTTAACTATTGCCCCTAGTAGTTGAGTCCCAAATCTCAACTCTTTCTCATCCCCACAGGCATTGAGGACACTACAGACTGTGAACTCATTTGCATCAAATCCATCAGAAACCATTTTTGTGAACATGATAAGAGCCTTCTTTCCTTGCCCGTGCTGTGAACAAGCAGTTATCAAAGTCGTCCAAGAAACCACATCTCGTTCTTGCATCTTATCAAAGACTCGAAAAGCACCCTCTAAATCACCACATTGCGAGTAAAAATGCAAAATAGAACTCTCTAAAATCAAACCCCTAAAACCACCCTTTAGTACACAGGCATGTACTTGCTTTCCTAGCTCAAAATCAAATCTTCTAGCAATCAAATTCAACACACACACAAAGGTCTTTGAATTCCATTGGAAGCCCTCATGAACAAACTCTGCTAACAACCTCATAGCTTCCTTGTACAATCCAAATCTCATATACCCATTGATCATAGCAGTCCAAGAAACAACATTTCTCTCCAGCATATTATCAAACACCCTCTGGGCCTCCACCAAATACCCAAGTTTCACATACATGCTAATCAGATTGTTGTCAACATAAAAATTTGATTCTTTAGCACACTTCACAGCCATGCCATGCACCTTCCTAAGTTCTTTTACATTACAACAAGACTGAAGTAAGTAGCCGAGCACATAGGACTCTGTCAGCTGATTAGTTGCTAAAGTATCAGAACAAGAACCATTTTCTTCACACAAGTATCTCAATTGACTGGGTAACAGTGTCTCTGAGCAAAGACCGTTGCTTTCAACCAATGGGGCCTCGAGTTTAACAGAACTGCTGGAATCGGTCAAGAAAGATGAGTGACTGAGTGAGGAACAGCGCAAGTCTTGGCCGTGAATCCTTGATTTGGCAAGGTGCTCTCTGCGTCGTGTTGGTATGGATGGTTGAGTACCAAAGAGAAACAGTGTGGATTTGAGCGAGTAAATTGCCGGTGAGAACATCTTGTTTTGCAGGAAGAAACCAGGCTTTTAATTTTCACAAAGTTCAAGAACAGAACAGTGAATGAAAGAAACACTGAAATACTATAATATCCCCCCACATTAGTGCGTCTCAGAACACTGAAACATTTCAGAAATTCAGTAAACAAAGACGAGATATCATCAATGGGTACGTATACATCCAAGTCTTTACTGACATGCGTTTATGTATATGTTAAGAAAGATGGAGATTTACCAGAACGATAGAAGAGAGTGTTGAAACATAGTTGGGAATGAAGATGAAAAAAATGCCCTTCGGTTTGTCTTCAAGAACGGAGAGTTATGAAGATGGAGATGGTTGTTCTCAGGCGGTGAAACATAATTTTGGTAATGGAGTTGCAGAGAGCATGAGGATTGAGGACGCACGTTGAAGATAAAACCAAACAAAAATATCATTAAACAGACAAGTTTTAGCCCCGGATTTTTTTTTTTTCTTTTCTTTTACGGAGGATTGTTATCAAAATTCTCTGAAAATTATTTTTGTGATTTATTTATGAGTCAACTAAACATAAATGTTTTTTTTTTAAATAAATGTTTTTAGAACTTAGTAATATCATCCATCAAATTATACCAAAAAGAAAAGGTGGAGGGTGGAACATTCCTCGTAATCTGCATAGAAACATATTTTTGAGCTATTAAATGAGCCGTCTATTTCACTTCGCTTAACCAAAAAGATAATACAATTTGATCTTATCTGTACCAAGCTGCATAGGCTGGATTTAAGGTACATTGTGCCTTATCGAAATATTTAGCAGACTAGTAGGGTTAGTAACATAGCCCACGAGGTTTATCCTTATGAGTGTGGACTCCACTTTTTTTTTTTTTTTTAATTGAAAAATTAGAAGAGGTGAGTTTGATTGGTAAGTGAGTTGGAGCATAAATTTGAACAACCGTTATTGCAGCCTTGAGGGAGAAAAAAATGAGAAAGGAGACAGATGAAAGAAAAAAATTCTTGCCCCGAAGTAATATGACTGTGATACCATGTAAGAGCTATAACATAACTAATTTATTTATTGCATAAAACATCCAATAAATAAAATACATAGCATATAAAAATGAAACAAGTTACACCAAAACTACAAGACTAGGCTAACAAAAACTAACAACATACTAAGTCTCAACAACACAAAGTATCTTTGATATCCAATAAAATTAAATCAAAAGAAGACTCATAAACCAGAGTTTAGATCCCATACAACCAAGAGAGCAATATTTAGTTTTGTTTTAAACTACTCAACTCAATTGTAAGCATTTTTTTTTATACAAGAGATTTAAATAAAAGGGTATTACACTTATACCATTAAATTACAAAGCTCTTGACAAATATAAGGCATCTATAATGGAAAACATCAAATTTAACATCAAAATGATTTTTTTTTTTTTTGGTATATTTTTACACTAAATTTTATTTAATCTCCAACCCATTTACACCAAATGTTATTCCTACACTAAAATAATTTATATTCTCATAAATTAAAACTTTATATTAATACTTTAATTATTTTAATATAAAATATAATTGTTATGCAAATAATATTTGTATTCCACAATAATTTGATTGTTAAAATTGTGTTTTATGTAGTTTAATTTTTAATTAATCTATATTCAATATTAGTATTGTTTTAATGATATAATTTATGTTTAATAATATAAAATTTATGAATAAGTATTTAACAAAATATATAAATAATATTATTTATGTATAAGTATAAATTTTATGATATAATTTATGTTTAATAATATAAAATTTATGTATAAGTATTTAACAAAATATATAAATGCATAAAAATAAAATAAATGATACAAAATGAATTAATAAAAAATGGGGTAAAATAATAATAAATAAAGTTAAAAATAGGGCTGATGAACAATATTGTGCCATATTTGGCACAATACTATTCACCATCAACAAATACTTTTGTCAATTTTGCGTCTCCTTGAAAATCTAAAACATCATTTCTATAAAGAAAATAGCGTTTTAAAGTCTAAGGAAAATGTCATCACTAGTTCAAAAATTAAGATAAAACTCAGTGGGATGCTCTTATAAAACAACAATAGTCAATAGTGGTTGGGTTGCCAGGGGTTTAATGCTAAGTGAAAAAAAATGGAAAAGAAAAACAAAAAATTGGATTTTTTAAAAACAAAACCAAAAATTAGGCTGGTCACTAGCTGAAAATAAACTACCCTAATATACCAAACGCGTATTTTTAAGGAAAAATGGTCAAATAGACCCTCAAACTATTGCTCAAAAGTCAATTAGGCTCTTCAACTTTTTTAAGAGGCAATTACACCCATGAACAATGTATATTGATGCAATGAAGCCCAAATACAAGTAAATGACCTGCTATCCCAGGTCATTACAAATTTGGCGACATTCCGACATATTTTTTGGCAAAAAAGTCGTTGGTCACCCCTCCCGGAGGAGGAGGCCACCCGCCGGAGAAGGCAACCCAAATCTGGGTTGCCTTCTCCGGTCGCCGGTCACTTTTTTGCCTGAAAATATGCCGGAATGTCGCCGGATTTGTAATGACCTGGGATAGCAGGTCATTTACCTGTATTTGGGCTTCATTGCATCAAAATACATTGTTCAGGAATGTAATTGCCTCTTAAAAAAGTTGAAGGGCCTAATTGACTTTTGAGCAATAGTTTGAGGGTCTATTTGACCCTTTTCCCTATTTTTAACACATTGAACTATTTTTTTTCTTCTTAAAAAACCATGCAAAAACTCACCTTAATAATCAAACTTTTTGGACAGATATTTGTGCTCAGATAATATGTAGTGATATCTCCTATGTGAAAGGTCTCAGTAGAGGCATGTATTGTTGACCCTTTGTACTTCATTATGATGTAATAGAGTCATTAACATTAAAAAAAAAAAATCAAACTTTTTTTCCTCTCTCTCCTCCATTATCTCCACCACCTAAGATTAATACTAAAAAAATTGAGCCAAAACCAATTAAAGGCAACAATAATGATTAGGTTATTTATTTATTTAATTTGCAACTTTTTGGAGCCAAGTGCAATAAAAAAAAGCTCAAAAAAATAAAAGAAAAAATAAGAGATTGTCCATTGACGACCTCTTGAGTCTCGATTCTTGACACACATTGAATATACAAATCAGGTTTAAACATAATTTATCTAATTTATTTTTCACTCAAACAAACAATCCCATTAATAGAAAATCTCCATTTCTCTCTTTCTAATCCATATCACTAAAAAAAAAAAAAAAACCTCAATGATAAGCCATAATGGAGTTGCTCTCTGTAGACTAAAACACAGTTGAAATGGCGTGGTATATTGAGAAGGCTCCTGCCTGCAGACTGCATCACTAAGCGCCAAATCCAGCGACGTACTGACGTGTGTATTGTCTTTGTAGAGGTCACATGCCAATCTCAAGTGCTTCACTTTTCAACTTGGAAAGCAACATATCCCATAAAAACAAATGTCTGATGTAATCAAGGAGTCTGCTTTGTCTCCTTTCCCGTCTCTTTCCACCTTAATTTCCTCTATAACTTATTGCTCCTCCCATCCGCCTTAAAATTTAAAACCCTTAGCTTCTGTGCTTTCTTCGATCTTCAAAGTTTGATCCTTTAGGCAAATGGCAACCTCCAAATCTTCTCCTGATCAGGAATCAGGTAATTTCATTTCGACCTCCCCCTCTCATTTTCTTCAACTACTGTAATGCAATGTTAGATTCACATCTCTAATTTCAATTCGCTCATATCATTTTCTCACGCAGAGCTCAACCAAGAGTTTAAAGCCCATGTCTTTTCTTCATCCTCGGAGGTAAAATTAATGGCATTTTTTTTTCCAGTAATAACTTTAGATAATACTATTGTATTGATCTACTGACTGACTTTATTCAACTGTTTGTGAGAGAACATATATATGACACTAGCAAAACTAGTTCTTTAATCTTTCTTATCTATTAACACTACTAAATACGGAGTATATATGGATTAATCTACTTCAAAACCATTATTAACTAACAGCTGATCGACTTGAGCATACTGATATATGGTACTTTTGTAATGTAATGATTGATGGCATTCATGAATATGGTTTCTTCCAAATGTCTTGTCTTAAAAATTAAAATGAAAAATGAGTTATGTAAACTGGGATGCTTTCCTAACCACATTGATTACTATGTGTAGTGTTTTATAAGTTCTTGAGGGAGATTGTTTCCGAAAAGCCAAATTTTTGGTAGTTATTTCTGATTGAACAACTATTTTAATCTATTGCTGATTTTCTCAATTTACTCTCTCGATATTGATTGGTTCCTGTTCAAAGTTAGCTACTGTATGGTATATGACTCTGTGTTTTCATTGCCCAAATAAGTTGCTTGAAAAGCTGCATGAGAAGTGGAATTCTGTGGAGAGGATACCCTATCCAGCAATGTACTCAAGTATATATGGCGGAATTATTCTTGATCCAGCTATGATGGTTATTCCAATTGATGATCACATGGTTCATCGAGGACATGGTGTCTTTGACACAGCTATTCTTCTTGATGGGTAGATTTCTTTCTTGAACCAATAAATATCCAAAGCTTAAATGGAAAAACGAATTTTCTACTTGGGACTGTCCAGAATTGGGAGTATTCTCATTTTAGTACTTATAATAATTTTTGTTTGTTTCAGTTATCTCTACGAGTTGGATGCCCACCTTGACCGCTTTCTCAGATCAGCATCCAAGGCCAAAATTGTTTCTCCTCATTCACGTTCTGCACTTAGGAGCATTCTTATCCAGCTTGCTGCTGTGTCAAAATGTAGGAAAGGAACCCTGAGATATTGGTTAAGTGCAGGACCGGGGGACTTCTTACTCTCTCCAGCTGGATGCCCGACATCTGCATTCTATGCTGTAGTTATATATGAAGACTTTGAACAGTGCAAAGAAGGGGTTAAAGTAATTACATCTTCTGTCCCCATGAAGCCGATCATTTTTGCCACAATGAAGAATGTGAACTACCTTCCAAATGTCCTCTCGAAACTGGAAGCTGAGGAGAAGGGAGCTTTTGCAGCAATCTGGATCGATGAAGAGGGTTATATCGCGGAAGGTCCAAACGTCAATGTTGCTTTTATTACTCACAAAAAGGAACTCATCTTGCCTAAGTTTGATAAGATCCTTAGCGGATGCACTGCTCTGAGGCTTCTTGAACTTGCACCCAAATTGGTAGAGCAGGGACGCTTGACAGGAGTGAAAACTGGCGATCTCACAGTGGAAGAGGCCAAAGGAGCTGCTGAAATGATGTTTGTTGGAAGCACGCTTCCTATACTACCCATTATCGCTTGGGATGAGAAACCCATTGGAGATGGTAACTCTCTTTTCAACTTGTATTAACTCTTTTACTTATGAAACTAACCAATTATAGATTATGATTCTATTGTTGTTGAGAAAGGTTTACAGTGATGGTGATGATGATGTTTGTAAATTGTTACAGGGAAAGTGGGAGAGCTAACAATGGCGCTCTCGGATTTGCTTTGGGAAGATATGGTAGCTGGTCCTGATACTCAAAGAATTCCAGTTCCCTACGAATAAAATGAGTGTGAAGCTAAGGCAGACTGAAGCTTTAAAAGTATTCTGAAGTGCCCTTATTTGATTCAGAAAATTTGAAGTTTTACATAGTTTGTATCCTCAGCTGGCAATTGCAATGTTTGTGTATCAAGATTGAAGAAGACAAGTGAAAAATGCTCTCTGAATAAAAAGTTTCCTTTTTTTTTTAGATTACGTCTCAGCATTTATTTTGCTTGTATCTCCTCATGTTGGGAAGGACTCATGCTTGGTCGAAAGTAGTCTTTGTTTGATTTGACACCGAAGACTATTACACCATACAAATCCAAATCCAATCCTTAAAACTTATAAAATAAGGTCCAAGATATAATCTGAAAAAATTGAATGAAGATAATGGGGGCAAGTGGGCAACAGACTGAACGTCCAAACTGGAGACAGGAAACAGCTCTGGGGTTCCTTTGTGCTGGGATTTGTGGAGTGGGATTCAGAGGGGTTTTGGGATAGCTGATGGTGATCAAAAGAGGACAAGAAAGGAGATTGATGAAGATGAAGAGGGCCATTCGGCCCAATATGATGATTCTGATCTTGGTGTGGGCTTTTCAAAAATTGGTTCAGAGGCGGGCTTGGGAACATCAATGAGTTGCATAGCCTGGAATTGTCGTGGACTTGACAATCCAACGACAGTTCAGATGCTAGTGGACATGGTCCACTCTAAGAGACACATTTTAATTTTCTTTATGCAAACTTTAGCTACTGGAAATAAAATTCAACTTGTGAAAAATATATTGGAATTTACAAATGCCTTCACTGTTGACTGCAGAGGTAGGAGTTGGGGCTTGGCACTTTTATGGAAAGACGAAACTAAATCAATATATCTTAGTTACTCGCAGAACCACATATAGGTAGTGATAGCCTAGGATGACAACCCACCGTGGAGGTTTACTGAGTTCTATGGGTACCCTGATAGAAGTAGGAGAATAGAATCTTGGTCCCTTATAAAACAAATGGCCTATATTAGCTCCATCCCTTTGCTAGTAATAGGTGATTTTAACAATCTTAGAAGTCAAGACGAGAAGCAAGGGACACAATTATACCCTCAATGACTTTGTGAAGGATTAAATTAAGCTATTGAGTTATGTGGTTTGCATGATTTGAATTTACCGGCAAGCAATTTACATGGGAAAGAGGTCGATGAGTGGCTGACGAGGGTCAAGCAAGTCTTGTCACACCAGCAAGTCTTGACCAAGGTGGAGGAGGAACTACAATCGTTATGCTGTGCATCCGTATGCATCATGCATGGTGCATAAGGATGCCAAAACGACGTCGTTTTATTAAAAAACGCGTGTCTCCCCTTTAAAAAAATTCAGGTTCGATTCCCAGCAACAACATTATATTGTTCATTCATTCTGAAATTTTAGTTCATAGATTATGGAATTATAGTTCATTGATTATGGAATTATAGTTCATCGATTATGGAATTGTAGTTCATCGATTCTGAAATTTTAGTTTATAGATTATGGAATTTTAGTTCATTCATTCTGGAATTTTTAGTTCATAGATTAAATTATGGAATTATAGTTCATCAATTATGGAATTATAGTTCATCGATTATGGGATTTTAGTTCATATGTTGTTGCTGGGAATCAAACCTGATTTTTTTTTTTTAAGGAGAGACGCGCGTTTTATTAAAACGGCGTCGTTTTTGCATCCGTATGCACCATGCATGGTGCATACGGATGCACAGATAATTTGCCGAGGAACTAGGGTCACACATCTAGCAACGATGATAGGGGGTCCATACCCAATAAAAAGGGTCATATTACCTCCATTTAGACATCACCCTTCTCTCATCAACATTATTATTGATCATGTAGTTCACTACTTAGTCTTTCAACCCACAAACTGTGTTCGAGTCTCAAAGGGTCCAATATTAGCCCTAGGCACCAATCCTTTTACATTGGCTTTATGTATTTATTCATTGATCCAATGTAAATATTATTTAGACCTAGTACTATATTAAATTAATTATTTCAGTGGAGGCGTGTTGATTATTTGTGTTTCATTAGGTTAGAAAAGTATGTTTGAACAGGTATTACACTGTAATAGAGTCAGTAGCATTCAAAAAAAAAAAAAATTAAGTTAATTATTTTTTGAGAAAATGGTCAAATAGACCCCTAAACTTTACCCCAAAGGTCAATTAGCCCCTTAAACTTTACAATAGTGCAATTAAATCCTCAAACATGTCAAATTGGATCAATGAAGCCCAAAAACTGATAAATGACTTGTTATTACATGTCATTTCAATTCCAGCAACGGATTCCGGCGACCGGCGAAAAAATCCGGCCATCCGGTAATCTTCCACTGGAGAAGACGACTGGATTTTGTCGCTAGTGGTCGGAATTCTTCGCCTGTCATCGGAATCGAAATGACTTGTAATAATAGGTCATTTACCAATTTTTGGGCTTCATTGACCTAATTTGACATGTTTGATGGTTTAATTACACTTTTACAAAGTTTAGGGGGCTAATTGACCTTTGGGGTAAAATTTAGGAGTCTATTTAACCATTTTCTTTTTTTTTTTTTTTTTTTTTTAATAGTATAAGAACTACTGAATTACTTAAACCATTAGACAAGTATTCATTGTTTTTCTTTATGTATTTTTTTTAATAATATGCTAACTATTATACAAGATCATTAAGCGTGAACTAGTTCACAATGTGTTTTTTTTTAAAAAAAAAAAATTGTAAGAATGATAATAAAACGTGCATAGAGAAATATATGAAAAGAATAAGTATTTTATCAAAGAAAATCATATTCGTTTTATTCATTGTGAGAGAATCTTTATACATGTCCGCATGTGGTATTTTGTAATTAATTGAAATTAGAAAAGAAAAAGAAAAAACAACAACTAATCACACAAAAATACTAGTTACATCAGGGGACTACAAAAAGTATAAATTGTATGGATTTTGTCGGGGTGAGAATAGTTTTTATTTCATCTTTTTGTGTATTAATTATTTGCCTAATTGGTTTATAAATTTAGTTTGGAAAAGCGAGGTGCATGTCACGGAAATAATAATCATTGAAAGTATGCAATTTTCAAATTTCCACGTTGCTTTACGTCGTATAAAGAAAAATGAAAATCCTACCTATTTGGCGGTAACGTTATGTGGGAAAAATCTACAAATATTTCCGCTCAACCCACTCCACTCACACCCCACCATCCCCCTCAATGGCGTGCAGCTTACGCACCCACGCCGAAACGAGAGGCTGCCACGTCATGGAAAGTTCTAATTTGCTATTCGTTCAACATCGCCCGTGCCGGTCACGATCTCCTCCCGCGCGTGGATTGAGGAACCCGAACCCCCCAGTCCGTTCCCCAGTACGAAACCCTCTCTCATTACCTCCGCCTTGGTTATTGGCTTTCTTCTTCCCTGCACAACAACTACTGAGAAAAAAAGAGATACGCGCTCAAGGATAAAATCAGAGCATTCTAGAGAGAGGATAGGGTTGAAAAAGGGTTTTTCGAGACGAAAATCTCTGCGGAACCAGGACGGGTCTTCGCGGAACCGTAGAAAACCAGGAAAGAAGCGCGAGGTTCAGTTTGGAATCGTTGGTTTACAGGTTCTTTTCTGATTCTCCCCATACTATTTGATCCATTGGTCAATCAGTCAAAAGTGTAATCACGTCATTGCCTCTATAATTTATGGGATTTCAGATGCCAATTTGGAGTAAAAGTTAGGGTTTCAATCCCCATTTTGCTATTTTAGCAGATTTTCCAGATTGCTATTAAAAACAGAGTAATTGGTCGGCGGTGGTTGTCATGCGATTTTCGCAGTCAACGTCGGTTGAGAGGAAAACGAAGGATCATAAGGTTGGAAATTTTAGGACTAAGAAAAAACATAAGAGGCTAGATGCTATTTGTGAAAAGGCATATACTCAGAGTCATAGTGCGATTGAAAGCAAGGAGCTTATTGAGTCTAGTAATGCTGGAGGGGATGAACTTGAGCTCAGGCGGAGCACTAGGGTCCGAAAGGCTCCTGTTTTACTTGATTCGTCCCCGCCTCCTCCAAAGAAGCGAAAAAAGGTTGACAAAAGGGGTGGGTTGAGTGGTGTGAAGGGAGAAGAAGATGATGACCAGTTTGAGATGCCTTGTTCAACACCAAGGGATCTGGTTGAAGATACTGGTGGTTGGCGAACAAGGTTGAGATCCAGGAGTACAAATGCACGTTTTGTTTCGAGAGGGAAGGGGGAGTCCTCACCAGCATGTAGAAGGAAGCTTGTTGAGAACTTTAGCAAGTTCAAAAGCAAATCAAAGATGGAGGCTGAACCGTTTGATGACAGTGAAGAAAGGCAGGTACATGGGGAATTGACAATTGTTAAGTCAAAGAGACCTGGAAGAGTTAAAGCTTCAAATGCCTTTGAGAGTGAGCACCTGGACATTGATCTTGGTGGTAGTATGGAGGATGATGAAGACTTGGTAATTATGGAAGAGATGCCACAACAAATGGATGAAGAGGATGACAAATTGATAATTGAGGAAGATGTGCCAGAAGAAATGAATCAAGAAGAAGAACATTCATTACATAAGGAAGAGGTGCTAGAAGAAGTGAATGAAGAGGAAGATTTGCCACAGAATGATGAAAGTGATAAGGGAGTAGAGAATGGTAACACACCCTCACCAACTATCTATAAAGAAGAGGACAAAGTAGAAATGTGCTTACAGTCCAAGCAATGCTTGAGTTCTGACAATGTGGAATCCACGGAGCAGGATATGCCAATTGAAAAGCATGTCTGCGGATCAGGTGACCAAAGAAATGCTCTAGAAGTTGACTTTGTTACTGTGGATGAAAATGTAAAAGATGATGCTAATGGAGATGCAGATAAACAAGCAAAAAGAGGATATCTTGAAAAAGCAAAAGATGAAGTAGATTGCTCCATCTTCTACAAAAGGAAGGGTAAGAGTTCCCGTGAACCTCTAGCAAATGAGAGAATGATTGATGTTAGTCATGTTACAAGAAAGCGGAAGATAAAAGAGGGAAGACATTGTGGCTTGTGTGGAGGTGGTACAGATGGAAAACCTCCCAGAAAACTAGTACAGGATGGGGTTCTAAGTGATAATGAGGCGCATAGTGAGTCGTCCACTTCTGAGGAACCTAATTATGATGTATGGGATGGATTTGGTGATGAACCTAGCTGGCTTGGACGCCTCTTGGGCCCTATAAATGACCGTTTTGGTATTGCTGGAATTTGGGTTCATCAGCAATGTGCTGTATGGAGTCCAGAGGTATGGTTCACTGAGTTATATCACATATGTTCTATTCTATTTATATCCAATCATGCTTTCATCTTGTCTGCTTGATGAATACTTCTATTATGTATAGATTTTTTACAACAGAAAAGTTACATCCAAACTGCAGTCTTTAATAAAGTTATCACTCTTTGAGTTGTCTGGTGCCCTGGTCTGCAACCTTTTAAGAGTGAATGTCTTCTTTTCATTATAATTTATTTATTTTTAGGAAAGCTAGAGGCAACACATTACAAGTTAGTATTATTTGGTTTTGTTCTTGCATATGCCATAACCTAAAAGAGGTGCTATGCCCATATTACAAAGGGATACAGACCAGCATACCATTTTTGGCACAAACATAGACATAAGATTCTTTCTAAGCCCTGCATTTTAAAGGAGCTTTTTGTTTGGGCAGTAATCCCTCCCTTTTTGGGGGTATATCCATAGTAATGATAATTTCTTCTTCCTTTCTCATTCATCTATGTATTTGTCTTTCTTTTATTCAAAATTTTACGACTTCTAGGCTGCCACCAACTTTGTTGTATGTAAACTAATATCGTATGTTTAAAGATTATCAGGGCTTAACATATTGTCATGCCATATGTTGCTTTATGATGGTAATATTAGTAGGAAGTAACCCACATTCCTACTTGCCAGTTTTCCTGCTGTGTACATATTTGATCATTTTTTACTGTTTGTACTCTTAAATGCTTTTGCCTCTGCATTCATAATTACCATTTCTTCTCTTTTAGGCACTATATAAGTCAATATGTTTCAATTGTTTCTGCTCTTTTTGTTTGTTTTCAGGTCTATTTTGCTGGTTTGGGATGCATGAAAAATGTTAGGGCAGCACTTAGCAGGGGAAGGGTTTTGAAATGCAGTCGATGTGGGAGGCCTGGGGCAACTATTGGATGCCGTGTTGATAGATGTCCAAAAACCTACCACCTGGTCAGTTTCATTCTTAAGTATAATCCCCCCTTCTGGCCTTCACTGGTTCTTGCATCCATCTATCTTTTCTTCTTTGTCCTTTACTGTTAGTTAAGGGTTTGGTTATTCACGAACTTTATTAGCTAGATTTTTCTGAGGGAAGTTATTTGATTTGGCAGCCGTGTGCACGAGCCACTGGTTGCATCTTTGATCATCGCAAGTTTCTCATAGCTTGCACTGATCATCGACATCTATTCCAACCCCATGGAAGTAAATATCTGCATCGGATAAGGAAAATGAAAGCTAAGAAGATAAAGTTGGAGCTGAGAAAGACATCTAATGATGCATTGCGCAAGGATATTGAAGCTGAAGAGAAATGGTTGGAGAACTGCGGGGAGGATGAAGAATTTTTGAAACGTGAGAGCAAGAGGCTTCATCGAGATTTATTAAGAATTTCTCCTGTATACATTGGAGGTTCTAATTCTGATACTGAGGTTCAGTTTCAAGGTTGGGAATCCATTGCAGGGCTTCAAGATGTCATCCAGTGCATGAAGGAGGTGGTCATCTTACCACTGTTATACCCTGAGTTTTTTAGCAGTCTTGGACTCACACCTCCTAGGGGGGTTCTTTTACATGGATACCCTGGGACAGGTAAAACTTTAGTTGTACGTGCACTGATTGGTTCATGTGCTCGAGGTGATAAACGCATAGCATATTTTGCTCGTAAAGGAGCGGATTGTTTGGGAAAATATGTTGGTGATGCTGAGCGGCAATTAAGACTTTTGTTTCAGGTTGCTGAAAAATCTCAACCTTCTATCATTTTCTTTGATGAGATAGATGGCTTGGCTCCTTGCCGCACTAGGCAGCAGGATCAAACACATAGTTCAGTGGTGTCCACTTTGCTTGCCCTGATGGATGGATTGAAATCTAGAGGGTCAGTGGTTGTTATAGGGGCAACAAATCGCCCAGATGCTGTTGATCCAGCTTTAAGACGACCTGGGAGATTTGACAGGGAGATATATTTTCCATTGCCATCAGTGAAGGACAGAGAAGCAATTCTCTCACTACACACAAAGAAATGGCCTAAACCTGTCTCTGGACCCTTACTCAAATGGATAGCCAAGAAAACAGTGGGATGTGCTGGTGCTGATCTTCAGGCCCTTTGTACTCAAGCTGCCATTGTTGCTTTAAAGAGGAGCTTCCCCTTGCATCAGTATCTCTCTGCAGCCACAAAGAAAGGGCCTGATGTTAAATGTTCTCCCCTACCCATCTTTACTGTAGAGGAACAGGATTGGTTGGAAGCTCTAACACATGCACCACCTCCATGTTCACGTAGAGAAGCTGGAATGACTGTGAATGATGTGGTTTCATCACCTCTCAATACCTTTCTTTTTCCTTGTCTTGCCCAACCCCTTTGTAAATTGCTTGTTTCCCTTTATCTGGATGAGCGCCTCTACTTACCAGACCGCCTTTCTAAAGCTGCTTCATTGGTAAAAGATGTTTTCACATCTGCTTTGGATAAAAAGAAAGCTCTCACTGGTAATTGGTGGTTATACATTCAAGACTTGCTTAAAGAACCAGACGTTTACTGCAAAGTTGAGGATCACCTCTCTCGTGCCAGTATTCTGGTTCGAGATTCTAATATTGGTACTTCTGCTATTTTAGAGGAGAACATTGATGATGATCACTCTACTTTTGGACATTCCAAACTTCACCATATGGGTGCTCGTGCTAACTTGGTCCAAAATATATCGGGAAAGAAATCTGGATTCCGATTATTAGTTTCTGGAAAACCAAGATGTGGTCAGAGGCATCTTGCTTCTTGTCTTCTCCATTGTTTTGTTGGTAATACTGATATTCAAAAGATTGATCTGGCTACTATTTCACAAGAAGGACATGGAGATTTTATACAGGGTTTGACATCGATACTGAGTATGTGATCTACTGTGTAACTTTGGTGCTTCCTCTCCACCCCTTACATTCATAAAATTCATAGAAATTTCTTTTTTCTTGTCTCATTTTTCTTATCTGTTATATAAACAGTGCTTTTCAATTCATTTTTTTTTTTTTTAAATTATAAGCAGCACTTGTCAATTCATATCTTTTGAAAGAAAGACTTTGTCTAAGAAAAGAGAAAACATACCTTTAAAATCATCGTAAAAGTCGATTGTTATTAGCTTCATTTTTCTTTCTTGAAAGTTATAATCCATTTGTATTCTGAATTATGTAATTATGGCTGGTTCAGTTTTTGTTCATTGAAGAAACTGATGAATAATACACTTTATTGTGGCAGTGAGGTGTGCAAGTGTTGGAAATTGCATGATATTTATGCCAAGATTGGATTTATGGGCTGTGGAGACCAATTACCAGGTTTGTGAAGCTCAGGGTGTTTCTCTGTCAGTGGAGCCTCATTCATTTGAGGAGAAATCCCTCAAAGAAATCAGCAATGAAGACAACTATCCCGTTGCTAATATGACGGAAGTGGAGTCCAGACGTGAAGTGAGAGAGGTCTCGTATGTCTGGAGCTCCTTTGTTGAGCAGGTTGAAACCTTATGTGTTTCTACATCCTTGACTATTCTGGTATGTGTGTTTCTCCTAAAAACTTTGATGATTAAAAAGCTATATTTCCCTCAGATTTTAGTCGGTAGATAATTAGTCCATGTAGCTTCAGCTAATACTAAGAAATCTCCTTGACTCTGGAGTTAACTTGTGAAAAGGGACTCACTTTAGCCCCATCCTTCCTCTGTTTTAATAGGCTACGTCAGAGATGCCATTTCAAGAACTTCCTTTTAGGATAAGACAGTACTTCAAAGGTCAGAAATTGGATCAGTCTCTCTCAACTCCATTGGGGGATTCCATGCCACAGTTTTCTGTACAGCTGGATGAAAGTTTCAATGTTGATCTGGTAGTTGATCTATTTGCAGCAAGACTGTGTAATGATTTATCTCAACACTTCATTCAGTTGATATATCATGCCAACCATGTCCATATGGTCCCACAAAATGGCAAGGATTATGATGAAACCAAGGAGAATATCGGATCTACATGCCCCAACACCAAATCTGGAACAGCAATTGAGCATGAAGGCAAACAATGTTCCATAAACCCCATTACTCCTGTTGCCCCTAACAATAAACATGGAAAAGGGAAATCAAACTTGTTATTAGCAATTACTACTTTTGGCTATCAAATTTTGCGATATCCTCATTTTGCTGAACTTTGTTGGGTCACATCCAAGCTAAAAGATGGTCCTTCTTTTGATATTAATGGACATTGGAAAAGTTGGCCTTTCAATTCATGTATTCTTCGTCCTAATAGCTCTGTGAAAGAGGTTGCTCTTTCTACCAGCAATATGAAAAGCAAAGAAAATTCTGGTATAGTAAGAGGCCTGATAGCTATTGGGTTGTCAGCATACACTGGCAAATATACTTTGCTTAGAGAAGTATCTTCTGATGTTCGGAAAGTTCTGGAACTTCTAGTTGCAGAAGTTAATGACAAAGTTCAGGGTGGGAAGGACAGGTATCAGTTCAGCCGTCTTTTGTCTCAAGTGGCTTATCTTGATGACATGTTCAGTAGCTGGCTTTACATGCTTCAGAGGTATGATTCCAGTTAGCCACTATTCTGTCACATTTTTATTTCTTGTTCACATCTAACGCGAATGAACTTTGTTTCAGTTTAGAGGTGGACACCCAACGCTCAGGTCCAGAAGCAAACTTTGCAGTTAATTGTGTAGGTCATTTGGAAGAATCTAACCCTTCAAAGAATACTAGTTTGGAAGGTGATGAAACATTGCATGAAGCAAGGATAGTAGAAGGAAGTGCCTTTGAATTAAATGCTGAAAATGACGGACATAGTGGTCTGGAAGGAGAGGGTGATCGAGATGTATCAGGTACAGTGGTGGCCTCTCAGTCGATGGACATGGACACTTCTACACTGGTTGAAAATGTTACAAGTACCACTGGATTAAATACTAAAAATGTTGAACATAGTGGTGTGCAAGTAGAAGGTAATTCTGGTGATCAAGATGAAGTGTGTGTGGTTGCAGTTGCAGAAGATGAAGCTTCCCAGTTGGTGGATATGGAGCGTTCTCCGATTGTTGGACACACTTCCATTTCTCTGAAGAATGGGGTCACTCTTGAATCGAGCACTGCAACTGTTATTGTGTCTCATCAAGGTGGAGATTGTGGATCCAAAATACACTCTAATGGACATGCAGAGCAAAAATCTATTGATATTCAAGATGAAGAGGATGGCTCCTGTGGTCCGGATGGTAGGTTCGGTACTGAGATCTCTGTTTGCAGAAAAGTTGTTTTTAATCTGGAGAATGGCTTGTCCTTGCCTGAAAATAATCTTCCTCTCGAAGATGACAAGAGAAAGCCGCCTCGTGATGGTTGTTCAAATAAAGCTACTGATCTTCCAATAGATTCTGGTCTTGTATGCTTCTTTGGTTGCTGCACTGGGTGTCTGGAGAAACTTCACCACTTATTACGAGAAGTGCTTAGATACGAGTGGGGACTTAAAGGAAAAGAGTGCAAGTTAGAGGATGTTTATGATTTTGTGGCCTCGTTATCTGCAAAATTTCATTCGTCTCTTAGAATGTGGTTGGTGACGGAAAATTGTAGTTCATTTGATGATGATAAAAAGGAGGTGGCAGAGTTTGAGCACAAGGACAGAGTTGAAAATTCAGGGAAGAGGTTGAAGATGATGGAATGTAGTTGTGACAGTAGTGTAAATAGAGAAGTGGATGGGTGTGAGAGTTCAGAGTATGGAGATGGTAGGGCATATATATTTAGAGATGGTGTACTAACCAATTTAGAGAGATGTAAGGATGTTTGTTTCCACTGCGAAATTAAGAAATTATGCCTTCATTCCCTTATAGAGTGGATAGAACTTAGAAAGGGGGAAGGAGCCATAAATTGATAGCAGCAGATTTTGTTTATTCCAGCGGGTAGCAAATTATCTCACTTGGATGGAACTTCAGTCTGAGATGTAAAATCAAAAATTTTGTTTACTGAATTGAGTTTTGATCTTATACTTTCCTCATTCATCACAGTTTTGTTTTACTATTACCCCACACACACACAAACACACACACACACACACAAACACACACACACACACACACACACACACACACACACATATATATATATATATATATATAGATGAGGATAGAGAATTCCATCAATTTCTGAACAGGTTTTAGTAGTAAAATATGCAGGTCTTAGAACAGTAAGCTTAGAAGAGCATCATCAATAGTCATAAATTTTGATAAGTTTTTGTAAGTGTGATTAGGAAAGAGGAGATGGGATGAAAGGAAAAAAAGAAAAATAAATCTGAAAAGCAAAAAAAAAAAAAAAAAAAAAAAGTTACAGTTTAACGCGCCCGATTGGGCGCTTTAGCTCATGCAATTGAGTATCACTGTTTCTTTGTTTTGCTGGGTCCACTTTTGGAAGATAAAAACAAGGTCCTCTTGCTACAATCTAAAACATTCTCTCCTTCTCTTTCTCTTTCACTTTAGCCAAACTCTCTTAAAATCACACCAAAGTCTATTGTGGATGCCCTAAGAGCAACAATAGTGATTTTTGCTCAGTTTTTGAGGAAATTATGGCTGAAGTGGAAGAGAGAGAATGAGGAAAGTGAAGGATTGAAGTCATATTGCAAGAACTTGGTTTTTGTCTCAATAGTGAGACCCACCAAGAAAAAAAGAAAATGAAAGCCTTGGTCGCGCGTTAATCGTTTTTTTTTTTTTTTTTTTTTTTTCCCTTTCATCTCATCTTCTCTTTCCTAGTCACACATGCAAAACCTCTTCAAAATCTATGCCTATTGAGGTTGTTTTTAAGTTACAATGGATTACACATGCACAACCTCCTCAAAATCTATGCCTATTGAGGTTGTTCTTAAGTTATAATGGATTTTTAACGTTGTTTCCCTCTTCCACATAACTCCAAATTATCCAAAAATAAATAAAGTCAAAGAAAAATATTAATTTTGATCAACATAAAATGGCCATTTGACAGAAAATGTCTCCTTACATTTTTAGTCGAAAGACAATTTTTGAATTCTTTATTTTCTCTCATCTCTTTTCACGTTTTCCGCTTATTATTACTAATACCACCACCACGCAACCATAACAATCACACCACCACTACCACCATCAACACCACACCACTACCATCATCACAACTAATTATTATTATTATTATTATTATTATTATTATATAACAAATAATATGTTTATTATCAAAAAAAAAAAACCAAATAGAAAAAATACAATTTCTTAACTTTCAGCCAAATAGAAAAAGATAGTTTTCTTACCTTCAGCCAAACATTAGAAGATTATTTTCTTGAAAATTAATCATTTTCTAGAAATTATTTTTTAAAAAATATTTTCTAGAGTTCTAAACAGATCATATATTACACATATGTCTAATAGATTATATTCATAATATTTCTTCTATATGTTCATAAAAAACAAAACTTAATATATATAAACATAACATTACAAACATATCATATTTAATAACATTCATTTTGTATTATTTTAATATTTGTTCTATATATTCTTAAAATTAAACCTTAACATTAATAAACACTAAACAATTTTCACTTACTCTGTAGTATCGTAATATTCTTTATATCTTCATCAAAATAAAGGTTAATGTAGTAAACACTATCTTATAAGTGAATTATGGGCTTATGGCTATATGCGCGGTACGGTGAAATGTGTGCATAATTACTAATCATGCTTACTTGAAATGATGTGGTCTATATTATAAGTTATACCTTGATTCACGATATAACAACGGGTAGCAATCATCCATGGCTAGATCTATCTTAACACTGTCCTTTATTTTATTTTATTTCAGTGAATGAAGGAGGGGGCAAAGGAAAATATCCAGTATGACCCTGCCCTATTGACTATTGTAGGGCCACTGCGTTCTCTCATCTCTGTCTCTTATTTTATTTACTTTTATTTTTTAAAATCTCAAACTTATTGAATCTTAACAGGAGAATTAAAATTGATAAATTTTAAAAAGTTGCACACTCAATATAGTCAAAGTAATTGTCTAAATACCAAACAAAAAAAAAATAAAATTGTTCCTATATTTCAAAAGCAAAATTCACTTTTTGCATCGATTATTGTGACATTGTCACGTTTAATCATATTCTTTTAGTTTATCTCATTATACTTTTAACTTTTATTTACTTATCACAATTAGTTATTCGTTTAACATTTTGTCATTTGACCGTTTAATAAATATGATTAATATGTAATTTTTCATTCAAACATCTTACCTCAACATGTAATTTCTCTCACTCTCTTGTGAATTTTGATCTTTTAATTGAATAATGAAATTACATGTTAACCATATTTATTAAATGGTGAAATAACAACATTTTTAAAAGACTAATTAATTGTGTCAATAAAATGAAAGTCAAGAATATAGCATGGTAAAATTAAAAGAACATGACTAATTAAATGTGACAATATATCATAATAGTCAATGATTAAGAGTGAAATTTGCAATACATTTCAATTTGAACAAATTTGTCCATTTAGTTATCTTGGGTGTTATTAATTCATTTTCGGCATAATACTTTTTGGGGGTGTTTAATTTGGTTCATAGAGTGTTACTTTAATCAACATTTAATTTTACTTTTAGTGATAAGGTGGGGTTCAAACCACACTGAAATTAATAGTAACGAAGACCTCTTGTGCACAGAAGTATATAGAAGGTGAGAATCTGATGAAATTACCTAAGCAACTCAAGAGTTAGGATTTACCTCCTTTATAGATTTTGATGCGAGTTTATGAAGTCTAAATATATTGTGACAAAGTTGAGAAATCTGGATTATTATAAAACATAGGGGACAAAATGTATTTTCTTTTTGAAAACAATATTAGTTGTTTTGCATTTCTATCCTCAAGATACTACTGGTTCAATGTATGTAACGTGGAATCTGGGAAGAGATCATGGGCCTAAACGACAAACTTTTACATGGAATATAATGTACATTCGAGACTCATCCAGCCACCTAAGCTTGCTTATGTTACTCCAACTCTTCTAACAAAGAAATTTCATTCTAGCCCGCACGGGTTTAGCTCACTGGTTCAGTAAGTAGTATTTAGAAGAAAAAATAAGGTTCACACTTTATGCTCACAGTGAACAGATTCTTTGACAAAGTATCACATTAATTTGACATCTGATTCCACCCTAATCAATATATTTAGCTCTAACCAATAGGAGCTGTCACATACATACTTACTAGGAAGCAACGTTAACAATAATATTTTAGTAAATTTCCTGTCTGTCTCTAACACACTGTTTTTCAACAGCCCCATCACATGGCATATGCTGGCATTGCCTCATCCCCTTCACCTCCTTCCAATTTCCAATTAATATATATACACATAATAATTCACATATCTTTGTCTTTCGTTTCTTTTCCTTTCATGCATATATGGATCAATCTTCTGGTGCCCACACTGCATTAAATCTGTAACAGTGTTGGGAGTACATGGCATCCATCTCCCCCGGCCCCACATGGTCTCTCGATCTAATCTAATCACAGCCCCACATCAGTGTCATTACAAGATATATATTCATATAAGCTGAGATGAAATCTTAGCTTGGTGCTGCAGGCAACTATGGATGTTGTTGATGATGGCAGGGTTGAGCCTGGAGAGCTTCTGGAGGAAACTTGGTTCTTCGGGAACTCGCTTCATGGGAAATCAAGAATGTTCACCAGACATAGTCATTCTGATCCGCCTTTAGTAGCTGATGAGAAATCCATGGAAGAAACTTATTCATCAATCAAGAAAATCCCAGAATTAGGTACAAGAAGCTGGTCGTTATTAACTCGGACAGGCGGTCCAGGTCTAATGAAGACAGCTTCAATGCCAACAAACGTGAAAGAATCATCAACAAGAATGTATAGTACAATGAATCTGCAGCAAATGCAGTACTGCGGTGATCTGTCAACTTTTGCAGAAAAGGAAGAACTTGAAGATGATGAGGAAAGCGAATTTTGTATGGGGAAATTGATCAGGCAAGCATCTTTAAACCATGCAAGAGTTCAACCTCCACTTCCCTCTGTTAAGGTACCATGCATAAAACAATAACATTATATATATATATATATATATCCATCGTCATTCAAGAATTGCGGTTTAATTTGCAGGGTCTGAGAAGAAGCTGTAGCATTTGTAGCTTACCAAAACAGAGAATTAGCAAGATTACAGTAGGGTGTGAGAGCGTTTATGATAATAAGACAGAAGAGAGAGATGAAGAAAATGTGGTAAGAAGACGAAATTGTTCAGAGCTGGCAGCTAAGAGTTCTCCAACTCCATTTCAGAATATTGCCAAGAAATCATCATCATCATCAGGACAAGACGACATGAAAGCACAGATCAAGTTCTGGGCCAGAGCCGTGGCATCAAACGTGCGCCAGGAATGCTAATCACTCAAACTGTATGTTACATCTTAACTCGATCTCAGCAATATCATATAGAATCGGTCATTAAGCTTCCATTAATTATTTTTAATTCCATTCATTACTACTGGATTTTAGAGTCCAGAGTGTTATAGTTAAGCACTCACTTAACAATGATTATTAAAGATATAGGTATGAAAGACGAACAGCCTAAAAGAACTGAATGAGATTATGTGTTGTATTTGCCCCCATGCAGGATCGAACTACAGACCTTCAGTTTACAAGACTGACGCTCTACCACTGAGCTATAGGGGCTGGATATTCATTTGGACTGGTATTTCATAGTGGTGAACCCACAGTGTGCCCATGCATATATGCCTCCATTGCACCACTACCCCGGAATGAGGCTAAACCATCTCTTCTTGGACCAATTAGTGGCCCCTGCGACTGTGAACTATTACCAATAACCCCAACAACGTAACTCTTTTCAATTTATAATTTGTATATATTTATTTTTGAAAAATTACATCAAACTTCATTTCTATTTAGGTTTTTATAAGCGTATATTTGTAATTTCTAATCTATTTTTCATTTTCTCATGATATCCTATATACAATTATTAATTATATAACATAGCTTGCATCTCAAATAGTTGAGGGATTGAATTTAAAATTTCTTTAACAATCAAAGGACTAAATTTGTAAAAATTGAAAGAAATGGACTACATTTGTAATTCAAAAATGAATTGAGAGATGAAAATTGTTTTTTTTTTTTTTTTTTTTTTTTCTTTTTGATAATCCAATTTTTGTTTGGCTTTGTCAGATTATATCATGGATTCCCATGAATATGTCCCAATGCCCATAAAGGAACAAGTCCCCCTATTACTTGTACACTACTTGTATACACAAAATGTCTTCACTATCATTAATTGGTTATAGTCGCCCGATGACTCCTGAGATCCTACCTTGTCATTAGAAACAAGACTAAACGTTAACTGGTCGACCACTTGAGTTACCCTAGTGAGGCCTTATTTTTATTTGTTTTCCATGTCAAGTCTTCGATCAATATTCAAACAAAACATCTCCTACTACAACATGTCCATTAAGAATTTAAGGGCCCATTTACTAACAGAAAACTGTTCTATGTTTTCAGTTTTCATTCTCTGTTTTCTATTTAGAAAACTTGTTTACTAACAGAAAATTGTTCTCTGTTTTCTGTTTTCATCTAAAATTTAGTTTAGATAATATTAATATTTTTTGAACTAATATTTATTTATTTTTTTTTTTGGATATATTCATTTGAATGACATGCATATGAATATATATAACTTTTACTTTGAATTCTAATATATGTGAGATTTCAATATCCGATATCTTGACCGAACTTGTATTATGATGTAACATAATTAAAAACATTCGAACTAATAATCTATTGAGTTCAATCAAAATCTAAAACATTATATAGAGTTTAATTCTTAATTTTGATAATGTAAATAATCTCTAACTTTAAAGTGCAAGCAAATAAATTATGTTTAACTAAGTAAAGTAAGTAGAAAAGATAGAAGATAGTAACAATTAAAATAAGATGATAATGAATGTAATCATAGTAATGTGGTTATAGTGACATATAATTAAATAGATGATAGATGATTTTGGTTTCCGTTTCGAAAACAGTTTTTAAGTGTGTTCCAGTTTTCTAGAGATTTTCAGAAATTATTTTCAATTTTCAAAATGAAAAATTGTGTTAATAAACATGTTTTCTGTTTCTGTTTTCCAGTTTCCGAAAATTTTCAAAAATCTCCGGTTAGTAAACGCCCTAAAACTCTTCCCTCACAAATACAAATAATGAACCTAAACCAGTGCTTAGACCATGTCCAAGATGAGCCCAACAACTATATGATGCAGTTAGCCCAATAGGGTCCAATAACATGGTAAAGGAAATATGAATTGCAGTCATTGTTGGCAGGTAGAATGGATCATAGGACAGAGTAGTAGTAGTAGTAGGTACAAGGTACATATATGGTTAATAGTTTTGTTCAAGTTAGGTTTCCAAAAAGCATAGTAGTTAAGTTATAGTTTTGGACCTACATTTTGATTTATAATATGATGCGTATGTATATATGTATGTATGCTATGTTGCATGTGAAACCTGGCAATGAGTGGACATAGAAAAGCAGAGAGTTTAAACACAGTTCCCTACCAATGTCTGTGACCAAAGGGTACAAAACCAACTTTTATCACTTTTCTTAGATTTCGCCTTTCCCTTTTCTTTTTAATAAATCAATCCCTCAAATACTAAAAACTAAAAAGCCTCAAAGTCAGTAAATTGGGAACGACGATCTTATCTTGCCCTGCCCTGCCCTGGAATCTCTGCAAAACAAAACATTGTTCCCCCCTCCCTCCCTTGGAAACTGCACGCCCACGCTTATTCATCAACACCTATCAAAAAATTATTAAACAATCTAGGACAATAACGTTAAAGATATGATTATCTTTGTTCCACCCCAACATTTACGCCTTTTTAGTCACTGGAAATAAGTCCACGTTCGTTTGGACATCAAACATGCAATTCCATTGGAATGGTTTCGGAGTTTGGGATAGTAATATCCTATTGCTGTCCATTCCAAACACTGAACAAAGCAATGGGAATATGTATGACTATATGTCTATATCCCATGTACTTCAACTCCTGGAATATGAAACTTTTAATATATATTCTCGCCAAAAAAAATAAAAATCAAGATTGAACCTTAAACTTTAATGTTAGAGTCATACGTTTGACTATTTGTTTCAGGCAAAATCCAGCAAGGGTTTAAGGAAAGTATTACCACCGTACACAGAAATGGTCAAAAGCAGAAAATTACTATTAATGCTCAGAATTCGTTGAAAAAATAATTAAAAGACAATTTACAAACGGCTAATTGCGAGAGAAGACTACAGTTACCGATACGACAAACCACACCGTAAAGGTGCTCTTCATTTTGAGTTTTGACAGCTCAGATGGGTCAGAACCCGACACCAGCGGCGCCGAACCCGAATGTGGCGCGACGATGCGGCTCCAGCTTCCTGTTTTTCCAGAAACAAGGCTCCGCCGCGGCTAGCTTACCCGCCGTTCTCATCGGCTCCGACTTACACCTGGTTAGCACAAACGGCTCGTATCCCACCGCGTTCACCAGCTTCTGCTCTATCATACTCGCCATCGACACGCCGGAAACTGCAGCCGCCGGTAGCGAGCAGGACGACCGAGGCGGCAGCGAGCAGGACGACCGAGGCGGCAGAGAGCACGACGACCGCGGCGGCTGGAGTAGGTGGTGGTTCTTGTTGTCCGGCGGCGGCGCAGGACGCGTAGGATTAGTAGTAGTACCTGATGGTTTTTTGGTATCCGTAGAGAGTCTTTTGTTGGAGTCATCAGAGGCGTCGGTCTTGCTTACTTTGACTTGTTGCTTCTCCGGTTGCCATCTGATGAAATCCGTACTGCACACCCATGTTTCCTTTGATACCTCCATGGATAGCTTGGGTTCACACATCATTAACAGCAAACACTCTGGCAATACTTCTTTCTTCGACACTTTTTTCACACTTTCATCCTCAGTTTCCTCTTCTTTCTCCAGTTCTTCCTTCAATGTTGTGTTCTCAATCTCTGTATCCGATTCTTCTTCTTCATCATCTTCTTCTTCTTCTTCCTCCTCCTCTTCTTCCTCTTCGGATTCATGTCCGGTGGTTTCTTCAGTGTCTTCATCATCTCCAATTTCTGCATCTTCTTCTTGAACTGAAGCTTCTAAAGGTAGTGATGCTATCGTTTCCTCTGTTTCACAACTTGCTCGTTCGGGGGAGTTAATTGATGAGGATGTTGAGAGGGGTGTTATACTTCCTTCTTCCTCTCCTGAACCTTGCTCTGAAACCGGGTTATCTGGTTCCAAATTTTCTGTATTTTGTTGATCTATCTGAGAATCAGCTGATACCAAATCTGAATCTTCTTGTTGATTCTCTAGCTCTGACTCCTTCACCTCTTCTTCTTCTGGCTTTAATTCAGCTTCCTCTTCCTCACTACTCACAACTTCCATTTCCATGGCTGTTTCTTCTCCTGGGTCCTCTTCTTTCTCTTCAAGGTTAACTGAAGAAACGACATTCTGTTCATCCACTTCTTCGTCACAATCTTTCTCCATTACTTCAGATTTGGATTCACCGTTTTCTATTTCTATTTCCTGTTCCTCTGCGGCTTCATCTCCGTCGCCATCACTTTCCTCGTCTTTTGTGGCAGCAGGTGTTTCCCAAAACCGATTAGTGAGAGCGGCCATTTTCATAGGATCAGATCGACACCTCATCAAAAGCAAAGCGTTCTTGGGTGGAATGCAAATACTCACTCTTGCCTTCTCTTCCTCTTCTTTTGCTTCTTCACCATCACCTTTCTGTGCTACAAAGCTTTCGTCTTTGAAGTCAATATCTTCGAACACATGCCTTCTTGATCTTGAACTCCTCATTGTAGTACTGGGTCTGCCTGCAGTTATTCTCTCCTCATCGTCTCCGCCTGCCACCACCAGCTCAATCTCCCTCCCTTTTCCTCCTTCCCCGTCCTGCAACGCCACCAGCCATCTGGCGAACACAGCGCCACAAGATCTCTGTTCCTGCTGCTGCTGCCCATTGCGATCACTGTTTTCCTTAGATCCATTCCCTTTCTCCTCTTTTTCCCTCTCGTTGGTCGAAAAACACGAAGACCGGCAGGGAAACAAGCAGCTAAACTCGGCCCTAAGAGCTTCGCAAATGGTCAAAGGCAAATGAACCCACCTCTGGTTCCTATGGGGCACGCCTTCTTGTTGCTGATAATGGACGCTCGAACTCCTCTGGTTTTGGAGACACAGCCTATCCCTTTCCTCGCCCAGATTCATCCCTTCCTGGGCCTGTTCTAATTTCCTGAAACTCAAATCCCCACTTCTTCTCTTCGACAAGCTTCTGCTGTGCTTCACCTTCTTCTTACTCTTCACCCGGACTTGCCCAATGCAAGTAACCTTAGGGGAAGACGGCTCCGGATTCTCGAAACCCGACCCGCGCTTCTTGGCGGAACTGGGGAACATGGGGGAAGCCTGACCCGCCTTGATGCTGCCATTGGAGCGCAGCCTCCGGCTAAGGGAAGTTGAGAGAGAAACAGAAGGGTCTCGAGCCCGACCCGGACTGAGTATAGATTTGGAAAGCTTCATGGAAGAGGAAGAAGAAAGACGAGAAGTGAAACAAACAAAGAGCTCACCAGTAGGGGTACTAGTAGTAGTAGTACTTGTGCTTGGAGTTCTGTGATGCGGTCTATCCAAGTCCATACTGTAAAAATTTCACCTCCGTCTTTTTCCCATGAAATTTTTTATGGTGGGTTTGAAAGACTGCGAGGGACTGTGCAAATGGTGAACGATAATTGAAGCGATGAGAGTTGGGTTCTGTAAAAAATGTGGGGTTTGCTGTTTCTGTTTGCAGAGAAGATAGATAGAGTGAGTGCGTATGTTGTGTGGAGTGAAAGAGATAGAAGATAATGGGCCCAGGGCCCACGACGATGATGACGATATGCTTCTTTGTCTTTAGCTCATTGTTAATTTACAAATTACAAGAGGGGTAGGGTTTATGGTTAATACTAGCGTATTTTTTTAATTTTACTACAATTTCATTTGACAATATATATTATTATTCTTTTTTTGACAATATACATTATTATATAAGCTCCGTTTTGTAGTTTCATTTTTTCATACACATTAGTTTATAATTATAATAATGTTAAACTATTATTGTTTATTTGACAATATATATTATTGTATGGTTTTGAATTTTAGTTTTATTTTAACAACAAAAAAAAGTATCATTTTAATTATGCTACAGTTTCATTTGGCAATATATGATGTTGAATGAGCTCTGTTTTTTAGTTTCATTTTTCACACACACTAGTTTCATTTTAACAACACTAAAGTATTATTTTAATTCTACTACAATTTTATTTGACAATCATGGTCCACAATATAACAACGGGGTAAAATTGTAACTTCATCTATCGAGATCCACAGCGTGGCGTTTGGCACCCTAGTGCCTAATACAGACCTACTACTGGATTAACGGACCAAATAAAGATAAAAGATAAAAATATAACTTCATTAAACATGTATGCCATAAACTATGATTATAGTTGCAATTTGTTGTGTTTTATTGTCAGACTTTTGTTATATAATCAAATGGAACCCAAACATGTTTGGAACATGCCAGGTTTAGTACAAACTTGGTTTTGGAGTCACAATTCAAAAATAATATATGTTGGATATAATCATGAAGGATTTAAACACAATCAAATGATCTGTTATTTAAGATTCTGAAACGCTTATCTTTGATGAATTTCTTTATGCCTAATCTAAATTATGTGTTATGTGTCAAGTCTTTTACATCTACCCTTGATTAGATGCCAAGTGACAAGTCCTTCACATTTGGCAACCCCTTTCCATCCTTCCTTAGCTAAGTGTTCATTCAACAATATCTCCACTTCCAATGTTTTGAATTGGCAATTCGAAGAGTTTATCTCTAAAAGATTTAATATATATTATTACATTCATATGCACAAATGGTTACAACTTGCTATTTCAACTACAACAAATTATATTCAAATACCATAAGAGTACAATTGAGAAGTGGAGCATTATGAAGAAAGTGAGTCAACTTCAGCCAATTTCGCATCTAGTCGAAGACTCTTATGATGTCATACATTTAGAGACTTATCATTGTATACCACGATCTTGACAGATTTTATATTACTAGAGACAAAACTTCATTATCAAGAACTTTTCACACCTAATGCACATGTACTAATACACATGCAGAAGACGATATAGTTTGACACTTTAACTAAACTTAATGAAAAAGAATCATATTGAATTTGAATAAACCTCAAAGTAATACAAATGTCCAAAGTTATATTTAAAAAAAAAAATTTCCCTACCATTTATATCTTTAGTAACACTCAAATACTACAATAGTTATTGCGTAGATTGTTGATCACGGTTTAAAAACGATGTTGTTTCGCGCAATTTTTTTCACGCGACCCACTGCAACATACATTTTTATAACTTATAATATACATTATTATAAAGCATAATATACATTATTCTGACTCATAAAGTACATTATCTTACCCAAAAGTTTCATTATTCTAACAAATAAAGTACATTATCTTACACGGAAGTTTCATTATTCTAACAAATAAAGTACATTATTCTATCTAATATTCTAACAAATAAAGTACATTATTCTATCTAATACATAAAGTAAAATAGTACTCATAAAATTTAACGACGTTGTTTGGACCGTGGTCCACACAATATTTTGCCCAAAATACAATGATCAGCCTTTCTAAGGATTCTACAATCAGTCGTGTGGATCACTGTCCAAAAACGATGTCGTTTTGCTTAATTTTATTTTTTCCGCGCATCCAGCTGCAACATACATTTTTATAACTTATAATGTACATTATTCTAAAATATGATGTACATTATTCTAAAATATAATATACATGATTTTAAAACATAATATGCATTATATTATATTACCCCAGATGTTTTATTACTCTAACATGTAATGTATATAATTTTAATACATAATGTACATTATTCTAACTCGTAATATACATTATTCTAAAATATAATGTTTATTATTCTAAAACATAATATACATTATTTTTATTCATAATGTTCACGACAATATATTTTGGATCGTATTCCACACAATAATTTGCCAAGATTCTATGCAGTTACTTGGGCTTTTATTTGGTCCTGTCAATCATGAATCAATTGTGAGAGATACGCCATATGTATGTTCCTTTAATTCCCTTGAATTGTTAGTGTCATTAAATCCAACTAATTTCTCTATTCAATGCCATTTCAAGTACACACAAATAAGTGAATTGTCACATTATTTTTGTCTTCCTAACTTAATCGACATATCATCACATCTTACTATCTCTTCAACTTACAATTATTTTCCCAAAAAAATAACAAATATATATCTACAACTGCATTATACTGCAGTTTATGTCAAATCGACAAGTAATATCATAATGTGTACATTATCCACAATTAAAAACTTAAAAATTTGTGAAATGACAAATGATATTGTCCAAAAGAAAATGAATAATGATATGAGTGTTAATGTTTTGATTTCATTAAATTGATTATGGTTGGCATTGAATCTGGCATATGGTGATTATGTGGATAGAATATAATGGATTGAGATGAGATGGACAATTGGGGTGTTAGAGAAGCAAGCATTATGGGTACAAGGCACATGGGATGGTGGCCAAAAACACTGGCCAACTAGACTAACAAGAAACTAGAACTATAGATATATGTCAATGCGAGAATGAAAATGATATGATGGAGCCATTAAAGCAGTATTATCTCTAATTTCAGACACTCACATATGCTCAAAATCCCTCCATCAACGTGGCCAGATCACAGAGAAAGAGACCCATCTTAATACAGATTACCACTTCAAATACAAATTTTTATTCCTCCAATTATTTTACACTAATTAAACTCTCTTCAATGCGTGTTTGATCACTTACATAATTTATGAAGAATTATGAATATGCTTTACCATATTTCATTTCTTAAGTACAAAACTTTTGTGAATGAAATTGTATTTTTATTATTTATAACTTTTGAAAAAACTTTTTTTTTTTTTAACTTTACGGTGTATTTAAGAAAGAAAGAAAAAAAAAGGTTGTTCAGAAAGGGACAAAATAGGAATAGACATTTCGCCAGAAGTTTAATGATTCGATGACAAAGCAGTGGCAGTTGGTAAATAAAGAATTGCAATGTAAGTATGAAAAATATAAATTTCAACTCTAAACTAAAGTGTTTTTGGACTAACTACCATGTAGTCCAATAGCATTTCAATTACAAAGAATTTTTATACATCTGATCTACAGGTGATTTATATGCGCTTTCAAATGCACCCTACAACTAATAACAAAATAAAATTTATGAAATCATTTTAAATCAGTTAATTAATTTAAGTTGTGTGATAATGTATGAAATCATTTTAAATCAGTTAATTAATTTAAGTTGTGTAATAAGTACATTATCAATATATTTGGTTCACAAAATAAGTTGGAATAAAATAACAATTTCGTGAATAGATCTATTTCTTCATTCGAAATTTATTATGATAATTCTTAATAATGATTTATTCCTCTTGTAAAAATAATAGTTTCGCATGGACAGTTCAACTGGTCACAGAGGTGAAATTTTGAAAGAATGACTAGGGAATCGAGTCTTACCACGAGCAACCTCTCAAAGTGAGAGAGGTTCCTTGTGCGCAGTGAGCACAAGTCTATCCTCTGCCACTGGAAGAATAGCTATTCGGAAGGATCCATGATATTAAGTTATTCTAAATTTATTTTTGTTTATAATATAATGCGTAATAATAATAATAATCCATTCAAGGGTGCACGTGACTTCGACACACCGCAAAGTGGCCGTAACAAATGACATCAAAGCCTCGCGCGCCAATGTTCAGCGTGAGGCTATTAGGCCAACGGTAGCTCGCATCTTTGAGGGGGTTGGAATGCCACGCGCTATTAATGAGAATGGGTTAGAATATTCTGCTTCCACAAGCGCCTAGTTAGATGCTTCCACCCACAACATAGAAAGCAACGCATCTTCATGGTGTGAGTCTGATAAAGTAATTAGTGCTTCATTACTTAATTGGCATATTAATTTATACACTACACTCGTCAAGCCTTTTACCCTAAACCCTAACGCCATTTAAAGTAATGTTATAATTAATTATTATTTAATTAAATAATTACAATACGTCATATTACCCTTCACAAACTTGCCACCCTATTTGTAGGGGTAAATATCTTTTTTTTTTTTAAGTAAATATTTTTTTACACCCTATAATATGTATTACTAATTGTATAAAGAGAATAAAATATAATTTTATTAAGTATAAGATATACTACAAATCTACAATAATGCAAAAATATAGGATATTATTTATGTTCTGATGATATTAAGGCATTATTATTGCTTATTTATGTTCTCATCACGCCAATATGCATGCATGTTTGAATTGAAGATGTATGTGCCTTGAAATGATTGATTTTGGAAATCATTTTTGAGCATTAAAGTTAGTTTCCATGACATTCATTGTTTTGGCCCAAGCTTTTCCACGTAACAAATTGGATGCATGCATGCAAGCTTTGATAAATATAATGTACCCAATTAAATTAAATAGGTTTATCCAAAATGTTATGTTGCCTCTCATATTTTGTCTCGTATGGAATTTTTCATGTCTTCCGACCCTTCGATTGCAGCGGACGGGGGACGGAGCTACGTAGTGTTGCATGAAGCAATGTTAGATTCTTTCTCAAAAAAAAAAGAAGCAATGTTAGTTAGATTTACTATAGTTATATTAAATGAACTCAATATATATATATATATATATATATATATATATATATATATATATATATATATATATATTAAAGTTCAAATTCATTAAATAAAAAGAAATAAATCAGATGACTTAGAACCTTAGTGTGAATCCTTATTTTTAGGAGAGTGAAATGTCATAGTAATTGTCCTTATATTGCCAAAGCTTGTTGGAATTTGGAGAAGGACCAACAATGCATCATATCCTTATTGTGATATGTTGAAAACTTTGGTATGCACGAAACGAAAAGGCGTGGAATAATCAAGGTCCATCTTATGTTAATGATCCATCTTGTAAAGTGGACCAAAGTCCATAGTATAATGAGGAATTTTGTGATTTTAATATTAATAGAAAACTTTAAATATATTTTTAGTGAGTATTATATTTATATCACCTTATTAAAAGATAAATAAATAAAAAATGTGTAATATTATACTCAGAATTAGAGAGAGAATTAGGTATTTCTGAAATAGCATGTACCAATCAATAATGAATTGACACGTGAATTCTTACAAATAATCATTTTCAATAATATTAATGGTTAATTAATAAAGATAAAACAAAGCAATAATAATGATGAGAAAGTTAAAGACTTTATTGTAATGGGACATGGGTTTCTGGAAGAGGAAAGAGCTTGACCAAGATCAGAGTCGAATACCAAAGCTTGACTGGGACTAGGGAGAAGACCAACATTGATATTGAGAGTAATAAATAAAAGATAACACATTATACTAAAACCATTAATATTTTTGCTTTGCAATATAATAAAGGATGAAAGGAAAGAGGAGAAAGTATACTTTAGGCAGACAAGCCCAAACATTGGACTTAAAAAGTGAAGTTCCCATGGAAGCAATTGAATGGTTTGGTGGCAAGTCTTTTTTGTTCACCACATGCACATGGACCATCCCATCATATTCATATTTTGAATGCCATTGGGCTAAGGTTTGATTGTGACAAAAACGCGGATTAGCCCAGGCTAAGCGTACCAATACCTCGATCCGACAAGATTATGGATGAGTAAATTATGATAACTCAACTGATTAATAGAGTGCGCGGGAGCTGGTTAAGCTTGCACTATATATGAGTGTTAGATGTTAGTGATATAAAGTTGCAAGAATCTTTCATTTGAAGATGGAAAAAAGCTACAAAATTGAGAAAAGTTTCAAGAAAATTTACTATTAATGCTCACAATTCGGTGAAAAAATAATAAAAAGGAAAATTTACAAACGGGGGCTTAAATGGCCAATCGCTACAGAAGACTACAGATTACCAGTACGACAAACCACAGCGTAAAGGTGCTCTTCATTTTGAGTTTGACAGCTCAGATGGGTCAGAACCCGACACCAGCGGCGCCGAACCCGAATGTGGCGCGACGATGCGGCTCCAGCTTCCTGTTTTTCCAGAAACAAGGCTCCGCCGCCGCTAGCTTAGCCGCCGTTCTCATCGGCTCCGACTTACACCTGGTTAGCACAAACGGCTCGTATCCCACCGCGTTCACCAGCTTCTGCTCTATCATACTCGCCATGGACACGCCGGAAACTGCAGCCGCCGGCAGCGAGCAGGACGACCGAGGCGGCAGTGAGCACGACGACCGCGGCGGCTGAAGTAGGTGGTGGTTCTTGTTGTCCGGCGGCGGCGCAGGACGCGTAGGATTAGTACCTGATGATTTTTTGGTATCCGTAGAGAGTCTTTTCTTGGAGTTATCAGAGGCTTCAGTTTTGCTTACTTTGACTTGTTGCCTCTCCGGTAGCCATCTGATGAAATCCGTACTGCACACCCATGTTTCCTTTGATACCTCCATGGATAGCTTGGGTTCACACATCATTAACAGCAAACACTCTGGCAATATATCTTTCTTCGACACTTTTTTCACACTTTCATCATCCTCACTTGCCTCTTCTTTTTCCAGTTCTTCCTTCAATGTTGTGTACTCAATCTCTGTATCTGATTCTTCTTCTTCTTCTTCTCCTTCTTCCTCTAACTCATCCTCCTCTTCTTCTTCCTCTTCGGATTCATGTCCGGTGATTTCTTCAGTGTCTTCATCATCTCCAATTTCTGCATATTCTTCTTGGACTGAAGCTTCTAAGGGCAGTGGTGCTATCTTTTCCTCTGTTTCACAACTTGCTTGTTCGGGGGAGTTTATTGGTGAAGAAGATGTTGAGAGGGGTGTTATACTTCCTTCTTCCTCTCCTGAATCTTGTTCTGAAATCGGGTTATCTGGTTCCACATTTTCTGTATTTTGTTGATCTATCTGAGAATCAGCTGAGACCAAATCTGAATCTTCTTGTTGATTCTCTACCTCCAACTCCTTCGCCTCTTCTTCTTCTGGCTTTAATTCAGCTTCTTCTTCCTCAATACTCACAACTTCCATTTCCATGGTTGTTTCTTCTTCTGAGTCCTCTTCAAGGTTAACTGAAGAAACCATATTCTGTTCAGCCACTTCTTCTTCACACTCTTTCTCCATTACTACTTCGCATTTAGATTCACCTTTTTGTATTTCTACTTCTTGTTTCTCTACGGCTTCACCTCCGTGGCCATCACTGTCCTCGTTTTTTGTAGCACCAGGTGTTTCCCAAAACCGATTAGTGAGAGCGGCCATTTTCATAGGATCAGATCGACACCTCATCAAAAGCAAAGCGTTCTTGGGTGGAATGCAAATACTCACTCTTGCCTTCTCTTCCTCTTCTTTTTCTTCTTCACGATCACCTTTCTGTGTTACAAAGCTTTCGTCTTTGAAGTCAATATCTTCGAATACATGCCTTCTTGATCTTGAACTCCTCATAGTAGTACTGGGTCTGCCTGCAGTTATTCTCTCCTCATCGTCTCCGCCTGCCACCACCAGTTCGATCTCCCTCCCTTTTCCTCCTTCCCCATCCTGCACCGCCACCAGCCATCTAGCGAACACGGCGCCACAAGATCTCTGTTCCTGCTGCTGCTGCTGCCCATTGTGATGACTGTTATCCTTAGATCCATTCCCTTTCTCCTCTTTTTCCCTCTCGTTGGTCGAAAAACACGACGACCGGCAAGGAAACAAGCAGCTAAATTCGGCCCTAAGAGCTTCGCAAATGGTCAAGGGCAAATGAACCCACCTCTGGTTCCTGTGAGGCGCGCATTCTTGTTGCTGATAATGGACGCTCGAACTCCTCTGGTTTTGGAGACACAGCCTATCCCTTTCCTCGCTCAGATTCATCCCGTCCTGCGCTTGTTCTACTTTCCTGAAACTCAAATCCCCACTTCTTCGCGTCGACAAGCTTCTGCTGTGCTTCACCTTCTTCTTAGTCTTCACCCGGACTTGCCCAATGCAAGTAACCTTGGGGGAAGACGGCTCCGGATTCTCGAAAGCAGAGCCGCGCTTCTTGGCGGAACTGGGGAACATGGGGGAAGCCTGACCGGCCTTGATGCTGCCATTGGAGCGGAGCCTCCGGCTAAGGGAAGTTGAGAGAGAAACGGAGGGGTCTCGAGCCCGACCCGGACTGAGTATAGATTTGGAAAGCTTCATTGAAGAGGAAGAAGAAAGACGAGATGTGAAACAAACAAAGAGCTCACCAGTAGGGGTAGTAGTAGTAGTACTTGCGCTTGGAGTTCTGTGATGGGGGGGTCTATCCAAGTCCATACCGTCAAAATTTTACCTTGTTGTTTTGCCCATGAACTGTTTGATAGTGGGTCTGAGTACTGAAAGACTGCACAAATGGTGAACGATAATTGAAGCGAGGAGAGGAGAATTGGTTCTGTATCTGTAAAAAAAGGTGGGGTTTGCACTTTGCAGGAAAACAGAGATGCAGAATTGCAGAGAAGATAGAGAGAGAGAGAGTGAGTGCGTGTGTTGTGTGTTGTGAAAGAGATGGGCCCAGGGGATGAGTAAATGGGAAGATGACAATATGCTGTTTGTCTTTAGCTCAACGTAACCATTGTTTTTTAATTAGGCAACTTATATAATGGCCTAAAGTTTCTTGTAGTATCGTCTATTTTTTTTTTAGAGTTAATTACCAATTTAATTCCTTTGACTATATTTGTTATTCAATTAAGTTCTCCAACTATAAAAACATTAACCAATTTGGTCATTTGTTCGGCAGCCGTCTACCTCTTAAATGTGAGAGTAATCTCGAAATTTCATTCACTCCATGGGATGTCCAAGCTTCGCGTAATTACTAGTGGGCTCGAGAAGGTTGTGGAATTAGATGTTTATGGAAATGTTTTGACTGGGTTTGTCCCGGAGGGGATTTGCAGGCTGTAGAATTTGAAAAATTTTACGTTTTCGTATAATTATTTTAACGGGGAGGAGAAAGGGTGTGATCCGAGTTCAAGAAAAAAAGTTGTGTTGGATGATAAGAGTAATTGTTTACCAGGACGGCCTAAGCATAAGGCTCAAAAAGCTTGTCATAAGGTGGTGAGCAAACCGGTTGATTGTAGCAAGGCGAAATGTAGTGGTGGGAAATCTCATAAGGTTGTGTTGTCATTTTCCTCGCCTCCTTCGCTACCTCATTCACCGCCACCAATGCAATCCTCACCCCCTCCACATCATTAGTCTCGTCTCCTCCACCCCCGCATATGCAACATTTACCGCCTCCGCCACATACGGTCTTGTCTCCTCCGCCAACTCATTTGCTACATTCGCCACCACCAATGCAATCCCCACCCCCTCCACCACCTCATATGCAACACTCACCGCCACTACCACCAATGCACTATTCACCCCCTCCACCACCGGCTCCAGACAAGAAAACTCCACAAATTCACTCCCTTCCACCTCCTTCGCCTCACGTTTCATCGCCGCCCAATGGAATCTAGGGTTATTCTGTTAATATCATGGTATAAATGAGTTAATTCCAGCAATGGTCCTCCGATTATGTTGATTTTCCACAATTGGTCATCGACTTTTAATTTGGACAATTTAGACACTTGACTTTCGAATTCTTTCCAATGTTAGTCCTTCCGTCAGATTAAGGTTAAAGTGGATGTTAGTTTGAGGGGTAAAATAGTCATTTCACTTGCTTAGTTTATAGTTATCCCTTTCTTGTATATGCGGCATTCTTTCCGTGTACCAAATAAGTCCAATCCGTTGGCAATCCCCGATGTCCATGGAAGTAACAGAGAAGAAGACGATGAGCATAATAATAGAGTGAGTGATTGGAGGGCTCTTGATAAGCTGGTTGCTTCCCAAAAAGAGGCCATATGGTTACGTTTCTGAGCATTGACGGTGGAGGTATTAGAGTGATTATTCCGGCCACCATTCTAGCGCATCTGGAATCCGAGCTTCAGGAGCTAGACGGACCGGATGCGAGAATTGCAGATTACTTTGATGTAGTGGCGGGAACAAGCACATGTGGGTTAATGACAACCATGCTTACAACTTCTAACAAAGATAACCATCCCTTGTATGATGCAAATGACATTAACCCATTTTACAGGGAACATGGCCCAAGAATCTTCCCGGCATTCAGGTTACAAAACTAAACTCTACCAACTTAGTTGCTTCTCAGATTTGTAACGTAACTGAGATTGATTGATTGCATACTCTTAGAAAGCAACCAGCTTATCAAGAGCCCTCCAATCACTCACTCTATTTTTATGCTCATCGTCTTCTTCTCTGTTACTTCTATGGACGTCGGGGATTGTCGGCGGATTGGACTTGTTTGCCGGAAAGAATGTCGCGTATACAAGAAAGGTGGGATAATTATAAACTAAGCAAGTGAAATGATTATTTTACCCCTCAAACTAACATCCACTTAACCTTCATTTGACGGAAGGACTAACATTGGAAAGAATTTGAAAGTCAAGTGTCTAAATTGTCCAATTTAAAAGTCGAGGACTAATTGTGGAAAATCAACATAGTCGGAGGACCATTGCTGGAATTAACTCGGGTATAAATGGTGCATGGCTAATGGAAATTCTGAAACTATCCTCACATTTAATTGTAGGTAGACGACTGCCCGAACAAAGGACCAAATTGGTTAACGTTTTCATAGTTGGAGGATTTAATTGAGTAACAAATATAGTCAAGGACCAAATCAGTAATTTTGCAATAGTTAAGGGACCAAATAGGTAATTAACTCTTTTTTTTATTATTATTATTTTTTTATAGATACTCAAAAATGGGTTCCATCTTGTAATCACTTATTTAGAATGATAATAGATGTGTCATTACAGATTTACAGTACATAGTAGTTGGTTTGTTTTATCACTAAGTTAATAAAAAAATATATTATTAATTTTTTTAAAAAATATTTTTATAAAATAATACTACATATTCATAAAAATAGTACCAATTAATAAATTATTACGGAGTATTTAAATTTATTATTCTTTATTTTTGCATAAATAATATTAATTTTTATTAAAAATATCTGGTTGAGATTTTTTAAATAATACTTATGTTGTTTAATATATTATTTTAATGATTATGTGCAAAAAAAAAAAAAAAAAAAAAAAAAAAAAAAGACAAATTTAATTTAAAAAAAAATAAAGAGAAAAAATAAGGAATGACTTCATTCATATTGCTATATGCACCATGATTTATAATATAAATATTGTTCACTAGCAGGATAGGCATTAGTATGAATTAACCCTGTTTGGCTTGAATTTGTTGGTTCGAATTGAAGTAGACATTGTGCAAATTAAATTCCAATTGAAACCATACAGGTGGTTACTGTTTTAGTTTGGAATCAGAATCGATAAAATTCTAATTTTGATTTAGAATTTGATGATTCTAGTATAAAATTGTAAAATATTTTTTAAAAATATTAATTTTAAGAATAAGAAAAATGCATTGGCTTGAATTTTTATTGAAATTTTAATAAGATGCATAGACAAATTAATATTGATAAAATTAAGTGTAAATCTAAAATTATTAAAGACTAGTATAGAGTATTATTGTCGTTGTCGAGGTTCAAACATTAGTCTCTTCTCTCAAATATTACCTACTGAAATAATGATTTAATAAATTTTAAATTAATACGGATATTGGATGTTATATATTAAAAAAAAAAAAAAAAAAAAAATCCTCCCTCTAGATCTTACATAACACTCAAATAATATGATCAATCTCTCCATATAATTCCCTGGATTCATGGAATTATTAGTGTCATTAAATCCAACTAATTTCTCTACTTCAATGCTCTTTCAAGTACACACAAATCATTGACTGTCACATTATCATTATCTTCTTTAATCCACAATATATACTCCACATACCATCACATCTTACTATCTCTTCAACCTACAATTATTTTCCCAAAAATGTAAAATCTTTACAACAACATTATATTGCAGGTCGTGTCCAATTGATAAGTAATTTCATGAACTAGTTACAACATTATATATATTGCAACGATTATAGTGATAATTTACTTTACCCAAATTAATTTATTAAAAAAAAATACTTAAAATTTCTTTTGTATAATAAAAGCAATACTTTTGCTTTGCATGTAATAAAGGATGAAAGGAAAAAGGAGAAAGTCTACTTTAGGCATCCTTAAGTAGACAAGCCTAAACATTAGACTCAAAAAGTGAAGTTCCCTTGAATGGTTTGGTGACAAGTCTTTTTTGTTCAACATATGCACATGGTGACATTGCATGGACCATCATTTTGATATGACTAATATTATACTTCCTTCGTCACATTTTATGTGTTTGATTCGATTAATGAGGCTTGATGAAGTTATTTTGAATTCAATTTTTTATAACATTAAGTTTAGTATTAATATATAAAATTTATATATCTAGAAACTACATTAAAAGTATTATAATGTACAAAAAATTTAAATTTAAAAATTAATAAAAAAAACAAACAAAGAATAAAGAGTTAATTTGATCAATAAATAATAAACAAGATAAACAAAATAGGACAGATGAAGTATCTACTTTTAATTTTTACGTTAAATTTGTATTACTCTATTTCTCTTTTATTAATACCCCGTAAAATCGCGAGATATAACAAGAATTTTATTCTCTTGAAGTTCATATATCAATTTTTTTTTGGTTTATATTTTAAATATCATGGGATTTGATTGAATAATTAATTAACTCTCTTTTTAAATAATATTTTTTCTTAGATATAAATATTACAAAATATGATGAATAAGTCTCTAGAAAAAAAAAAAAAAAGCACAAAACTTAAGCTTGAAGAAATGGATCAGGTTTTAGCAATGATGGTTTAGGTACAAATGTTCACAGTTGTTATATTATAGACCGCGGTGCATAATCGATTATGCACCGCGGCCCATATACGGCGCCGTTTCTTTAAGTAAAGAAACGGCCCGCCGTTAGAGTTAACGGAGTCCGTTTGTTTGGTGTATTAAACACTAACTGACACTACAGTATATCCAAACCGACACTGCAGTTATATCAAACTGATACTGTAGTTATAGTGAAATGAAACTACAGTGTATATAAACTGAAACTGAATAACATTTCACATATTTGAATGTATATTGTACAATGAAGCTGTAATAATATCAAAATGATCATGTAGTTGTGTTTTAATAAAACTATAGTGTATATAAAATAAAATTAAATAACATTTTCACATATTTGAGTCTATAAATATCGAATGAAACTATAATTATATCGAAATGAAACTGTAGTTGTGTTCAACTGAAACTGCAGTGTATACAAAATGACACTGAATAACAGAGTTATTTTTTGCAAAAGAGTGCGAAACGGCGAAAATAAACACTGTTAATTTTCATTTTAAAAAAAAGACGCGCGGTGCATAATATAATTTGCCAAATGTTCAATAGCCTAATAAGCATTAGGCATAGTAGTAGGCTCAAAGGCAACAATAATTAGGAAATGGATTAACAATTTGGCTTACGAAATTAACATGGCAAAAGTTGAAATAGTTATTATGTCAAACTAGTCGTTGAAGGATTATTATAAGTGATTATGGATTAAATGAAGGTATACATTTTCATAATTCTCCATAAAGGGCAATTATCCTCCAATT